GGGCCTGCGTCAGCCTAACGCGACGTTTAGATGGAGGCAGCTTGGTGTCTCTAGATAGGAATTTGGCGAGGTGGGTTGCATTGTGAGTCGTAAATTGGCATCCAAGCTTAGTTTACAACCCAGGGTGCTGGTTAAACTCCCGTACGTGGTCATTCGAGTGCCGAGCGTTGGGCGTAGAAGTTGGCAACAATGCGCCCTGGACCCGGCAACTTGAGTTCGATCTGCGGCTAACATCAGTGCCGAGCGCTGTCAAAATAAGTGCAATGCCCTCCCTTTAACAACCCGAAGCAACCAGGGTGCTGAAGCATGGTCAAGCACCTCCTACGACCGACAGACACAGTTGGATTGAAAATATCCGCGAAATATTTTGTACATAACCGGTGGAAGGACCCCTCGTTAGACGATGGACCCCTCCCCCAACATTCCACCTCCCCATCCTGGGTGCCCCCCTACCCCCCGAGCACATGAACACCCAGGGGGACCGTCCCCATCACCACCCACAGGCCTAACCGAGGTACTGTACAAGCCTGCCAGAGTACATTCAACAACAGCCGCCGTTCACCACGAAGCGGGAGTGACGTCGCCACAGCCCTTGTGCCAGGCTAGGTTGCACGTTGGCGCCATGTGAAGTGTTGAAAGATCGCTGACAGGAGGTCACGGGACAGACCCGGGTGCCATGGGTTGACTGAGATGATTGGCAGATGCACCACCTGTGCTCCCTACTATGCCAATTTCCTGCGTTTGAGCCACCCGGAGCTCTGTTGGTTGTTGTGAGCATCGCTCCTCTGCCCTCAGCTATTGTTGGAGGGCAACTACCTCCAACTGCCCAGTAGCATCCTTCATTAGACTTCTCCACAGAGGCCTATCTTGACACCGCTGGTACCAGCAATCAGCCCATCTCTACTGTAGCCCATGCTGTGCCCATTGAGCCCCCCATATCTAGCCAAACAGAAGCTGCCTGGGTATGCAGTGGTTTGGGCAATGGGGCATCATGACCGAGCAAATACAGCCTCGCCTGCCTGAGGTAGCTCACTGATGGATGGTGTCCATATCTTTCAAGAGCAGCAGAATCTACATTTACTTCTAAGAGTGAGTAGAAATTCTCAGATCATCCTCACACATAACACAGTTGAACAATAGGAAGTAATCTCTTGACCTCACCCGGGCATTGAAAGCTTCTTGAATGTGGTAAAAAAATGTTTCAGAATGTAGGAGCCAGAGTACATGCCTGTTGCACCGCAAGGTCAATAGGGAATGGCTCTTGACTCACGGCTATGCAGCTTTACCCGGGCCTGCCCACCATTACGAAGGTCCTTAATGATTGTGAGTAGAGAGTCAGAGACCCTGAAACCACGAAGAACATCCCAGAGCCCTGACCTGTTGATGATGGTATCAAAGACCTTGACCAGGTCAATAAAGCAGGGCTGTAGGTCCATTTGAAATTCCCTTCCCCTCCGCCGTAGCAGACAGGCACAGAATATGGTGTTTGTGAAGGACAGCCCCGGCCTGAAACCACATTTGGGCTCCGCAAGCCTCCCCTCAGCGTGCTTGCTAAGGCAATGTTGAATAATCCTTGCCAGGACCTTTACCGATGGGGGAGATGGCTCAATAGTTTTTTTTTACAATCAGTGCGGTCCCTCTTCTAGAAGGGGGGGACCACGACCATCCTTCCAACCCTGTGGAACCTGTGCTGTGATCCTGACAGTTGTAATAACGTTATAAAGGGCAGCATCCACACAATCGCTACCCTCCCTTAGCAGTCCGCTTGGGAGATCATCTCTGCCCGGTGCTTTTCCTGGCATCATACTGGATCGCTCTCTGTACTTCCTCAAAAGGTGGCACATCAGCCAGCCACTTATAGGCTATTTGCTCAAATATTATCTGGGCTGAGGGATTTATCCTCCCAAAGACCTCAGGGAAATGGTCAGCAAACCTGCAGGCGTTCTTGGGGGTTGGAGATCAGATCACTATTGTTTCCCTTAAAGATGGCAATAGGTGTGGTGCGGTTACTATTTTTTTTCAGTAAAGTGTGATTTGTGATCGCAAGCTACTCAGGCATTTTCCATCTCCTCATCAACCCACGACCACCACTCATCCTTACACACTGCCGCACGCCTCTCCAAACCTCCGAACGAAGGCCGCGATTAGCCTCCACATTCTCTGATGTGGGATGTTGTACATACATGCACACACAAACACACACACGTGTTTGTGTATATCGTTACACCGTGGGCTCGTGGCTACCTTCCCGGCACAGACACCTAAGCAGATATAGCTATCAATCTGACTCATTACGGAGCACGGGTAAAGTGAATTTATTTCCAGCCATATTTCTTCTCGACAACTTCAATTAGTTCTCATTACCAGCCCTCCCCCACTGCCCTCAATTCACGTGCCGCTTTCAGGTAATTACAAACTTTCCCCGAAACACTTTGCTTCACTCAAATCAAATTAGTCCAGCCAAGGAAAAAGAGATTCCCCCCCCCCCACTTCCTTTCTATCACAGACCGAAATTTAACATAATGCGTCCATGACGAAACCCCGCAGCGAGGATTTGGGAGAGTGGGACATTTTTTTTCGTAACTTTATGAGGCCTGTAGCCGAAGGAGACAAACCATATCAGGCAGAAGGGGCTACACAACCGCTGCAACTGCGCTGACATTCATGAACTATTTTTTGATTAATTACACCATTAAATTCAAAGTTCACATTACCCCGCTCGCTGTGGTTGCCTAATATAGCTCGCAGCATTGGTACATGCGTGCACAATAACACGAGATTTCGACGCAACTCAAATGAAACGTACATGCTAATTGCATTGTTGACCTAGTTTAGGTTTAATTAACATGTGTTGCGACTACACCCCAGGGACTTTTCCTAAGGATTCAAACATGCCCGGCTGATATTGCCCTATAACAATGTAAAGGTGTTTTGTTTTTTTGTCAAGAGATATCGCAACAACAATCTGTTACTTCGCAACTGCACCTCGCTAATGTGTAGGATAATTATTTTACATTAATTGTTTTTTGCAGGTCAGTCAACTATAGCCGGGCGACGCCTCTGATTACATGCCGGTATTAATTTTGTTCACGAATAACGGTGCGAAAACGGGAATCGACGAAAGTGGCTGCGTGGTTCCTTTTCCGCCAACGGTGACGGCAAGCGAGTCGACGTCGCTGAGCGTGGCGACGACGATATAAGACAACGTCACGACGGACCCAAGCGCCACCGAATGCGGCGGCGCACGATTCACGACTCACAACGAAGGCGTGGGCTAAGGCAATTTTAGTGGCGTTATTAGAGACCGCGGCGCACCGAGGAGCACCGAAGATTGTAATTGGCCTGCATGTGAAAAGTTTTACCGAGTTCACTTATCGGCTGATCTTAAAATAAGGGGAGGGGGGAGGAATTGCGCAGCCCTCGCAGCCAACATTTAATAACTCAACGGACTAAATGTTGGACTGCTTTAGTCAACCAGGTTAACCCTTTGCCATTCCGATGACGTACGTGTACGTCATCGGTTTTTTTCTTCCAATTTTCTTTCGAACAGATTGGCGCCAGCTATCATAGCGTGTGGTCGTGTCGCTACGGTTCTCTGCGGTGAGTACAATGTCTCTAAAAACAGCGGCACTATGCCGCTCTTTATCAAATTAGCGCTGAACTGCGTTGCGCGTTCCGAGATTCAGCGGTGAACCGGACACCCACCCTGCAACTTGCAGAGGTCTCGGAACGGGAAAAGGTTAAGAGAGTGACTGAATGTAATCCAGAGGCTAAGACTTGACTATAATTCCACATGTTGTCATCGACTACAATAATACATTCTGACTAAATTAACATTGTTATGTGCACCGTACGTGAGAGTTATAAAACTAAGCTGCTTTAATGTTTTTTTTTCCCAGCAGATTCCTAGCTTCGCAAATGAAGTGTTAAATATTTATGAAGGCGGAAGGCAATGTCTTTTCAGCAACGTCGGGTTTACATTTCCTTTCCAATGCATCACTCTGCATTCCCACTGCCAGCTGGTAATGTTCACCATGCGCCAGAGCAGCAGCTACATAATACAATTACAATTTGGATTCATACGGGGTGTCTAATGCGACCACATCTCAAGATGCCCTGCAAAAACAGCGGGCCATATTTGTTTCATAAAGGGAAGCACTCGATCATAGGAAAGGGGAGAAAAGGTAGGCCTTTAATCCTGGACTTGGAAATGGACAGGGAGTCAACAGCAGGGATCGCTGTGGGGGTACAGATGTACACTAAGGGGGTAGCAGAGGAGAATGAGAGACTGCCCACTGAGTGAAGGTTGTCTGCATGTATGTTGAACTTCTTTCGCACCGTACGTAGCCAACCGTGATAACCGGAGGTTGACCGAAGGCTTTGATGGAAAGCTTTCATTGCTAGAGCAGACTAGGATGGGGATGAGAGGGGAGAAGTAGATAGGGACGAATCCACTGAGAACGCTGCAGATGATGGGTGCGATGTTGAAATGTGGCCAGGAAAGGATTGGCAGGCAGTGGAGGGATTGGATTATTGAGTGACATGGGGTCTCGCGAGTGATATTAATGCTTCCGACTTCAGCACCGAAATAAAGTGTCCCAACGCTTGCGAATAATTTTCAGCGATCCTCTAGTGGTGTTCATCTTTCTTTATCATTGCAAATAAGTGCCGATTTTACTGAACCCAGAAAGACTGTAGATGGAGCTGACCCTTGACAATGATTTGAACCCAAGCCCCACGGACTGCAAAATGAGCATTGAGCCACAGTGCTGCCCAGCCGGACAACACACTAAGCATACGAAGCATAGAAAACCCTTTGGGTTACTATAATAAAAGAGATAGAACAAACCAGAAAGAATACAAAAAGTGGGCACGGTGAGGGCAAGGCCCAAAAAAAAAACCAATCCATTCTGGCATGGGATTGTGATCACAAACCATGGAATGGTTGAGTCTGCGAGCCCACCCCCCCCCCCCCGCCCCCCGATCCCACGCCCCCTCACCTGACTCCAGGCGAGCTCCGTCTCCAGGCTCTCGGGCATTCCGTCCACGGCGGAGCGGCGCGTCAGCTCCGAGTCGGTGGCCGCCAGCCAATCGGTGAGGGCGGCGATCTCCTTTCGCAGCTTGCGCGCCAGCTTGAGCGCCTTCTCCAGGTCGCTCTTGCTGTCGGTCACCTGGCACGCGCCGCCACGCCACCGAGAGTCACGCGCGAGGCGACAGGCACACGATCCCGCGGCATTGCGGCGCCTGCGCGAGACATTTCGTCGGTCCACTGCTGGATGAGGCCCGTGCGTATCGGAATTGCGGGTGGAACCGCGGGGGGGGCGAAGGAGCGGCTCTCCGTGCGATCCGAGGTGGGTGACGTGCGCCCCGTGGCTTGCTAGGTTTTGCGCGATTTCCTTGAGCCGTGGGTCCGGTGGATTTAATCGCGATCCACACTCCCCGCGAGGCGAATTATTATCACCCGGCGCCCGACGTCACCACCAGGCACTTAAATTCCACGGCAGTTTGGCAGCTAAGCCCAAAGCTCGGTGTCAAAAAATACACTTTTAAAAATGTGCCCACGTGCCTGTGTTGCGTGTGCACTAACACGTGCGTGCGTACGCGTGTCCACACACAGCCCCCCTTGTCTATCCACTGCTTGACGAGGGCTTCCCCGTACTTGGCGGGTTGTAGATGATTACTTCACCATACTGCACCATACTTCACCACGCTCGTCAGTGTGCGTTGGTGGAGGCGGGCAAGCACAGATGTTGGATCATGGTACAGTACAACAATGGATTTTTATGCACTGCCTCTGTCGGCTCACAACGTAGCGCGGCAGCATGGTGGTGGGTCGCCCACCCGATCACTCTCCATGCTCAAACCAGCTTAGCTTCCGAGATGTGACGAGACCGTCGTGCACTCTCGCTGATTTCAGCATCGGCAATGTGGCGTAAACTGCCTTAAATTAAAGGTTCTGGTTGTTGTTTTATAACTCCCAAAGACTTTTTTTAAAAAAATAACAGTGTGAAAGTGTCACAATACTCAAATGAGTGTTGGATTGTGGTTATCTCTGATTGTGTTGGACAATTACATATTCCTATGATAGATACCGATCTCTGTGTAGAAAAACCTGTCAAGACCTCCGACAAAGTGGGACTAAAAATATTCCGTCTGCCCAAGGACATCACTGAAACACGTATGTTTGGTGTGTGTGGCAAACCACATGTTTCTGTTATTCTAAACGTGCAGGCACTGGTATTGTAAAACATTAAAAAGCACCATTGCAAGGCTGGAAAACTATGCTGCATGACAGAACCATCTGGAGATCTAGGGTCATGGGCTATTGATAGGGGGCGAGCCGTATGTTGACCACTGCATCGGCTAAACAAACACATGCTTAGGTTCAGCAATATTGCGAGAGCCACTGCGATACTGCTTCATGCACAACTCGAGTTTTCATATCGAGGCAAAGCCATTGTGTGCCAACCAAGGATGACAAGCCGTGGCGCGGTTGCAACTGTCATATCTATATATATGAAAGGGAAATTTGTGAATGTGTGTCTGTTCGAAATGTTTAGCATACTTCCCGACATGCAACAAACTTGAAATTTGGCATGTGGGTAGCTTCAAGACTGTACACAATGCCAAAAGTATAAAAATAGACTTTTGTATTTTGGGGGGGGGGGGGGGGGGGCAATAATGGATATATTTTGCATGGCGAGTCAGCGGTGACGTCACATCTGTGATGTCACCCGCATGCGGCAGCGTCACGCAGTGTGCCTGCTGACGTCACGCATCCCCCCCCCCCCACCCTCTGCGTAGGCCGTGTATTAATCCAAGACAAGATTCCAAGTCTCGGGCGAAGCCGGGTAGTGTAGCTAGTTTTATATAAATGTTTACAAATCTGATTTTTTCATGCATCTCAATCGTGCTTTGCCACACTTACTTCTGAAGTTACAGCATTTGTTCTCCTCCACATATTTGAAGAATTTTTTGTGCATCGTTTTTTTTCTAACTGACAATTTTAAACAGGAAGCTCACACATCTGACCTCGTCATGCACCGCGCCTACACCTCAGTCGCCAGAGAGTCGGATACCCGACGTCGTGCTCTGTCTGCCAGGCCGCTCGATCGGCAGAACGAGCGACTCTCAGTCGGAGGCTTGCAAGTTCAAATCCTGGTTGGGAGTTTGATTCAGCCCACCATCAAATCTCCAGGGTCCATAAACTGAGCACTACTTTGCGTGGGGAAAGCAACAGTGGGTTGCTTTATCAATATACTCGCTAGCAACGCCTCCGGTGCTCATGTGTATAGTATGTTGAACAAAGATGAAGATCCCCTGTATATAAGAATAGGTTTGACCCTTTCTGGCAATAAAACAGGTGTTAAGATGGTCAAACAACGAATCATGTCTGCAATAACCACAAATACGTGTGGTGAACATGCAAACAAAAACATGCTCTGGTAGTATATGTATATATTTGATGTTTGAACATCTTAACACCTCCTGTTTTCATATTCTTGGTTCTTTCGGTAAAGTCACGTAGAAGGGAAACAATAAAAAAGCTATCACTCCAACCATGAAGAAGGACCCTCTTGAGGAGCCTTTCAAAACCATCACTTTACTCTACATTGCGGGGATCACAAAAAAATCTCCAAAATCTTGAATGAACACAAGATCCAGGTCCGATTCAACACGTTACATAAAATCCGTGATCTGGTTCTGTCTATAAAAGATGTGATTCCGGTCATACAGTACCCTGGTGTCTACAAACTAAGTTGCCTCTGTGGTAGTAGTTACATTGGAGAAACCAAACGACATGTCTCGGACCACATTCGTGAACACAAAGCAGACCTGAAACACGGTAGGACCAACACCTCGGCCGTGGCAGATCACTGTTATAATTCAGTAGGTTCACATGACATTGGCTTCTCCAAGATAGAGGTATTTTTACAAGCCATCTGGCTACCATGAGAGATTCGTTCATGAGGCTATCCACATATACAAACACAGAGACAATTTCAACCGAGAAGATGGATTCTGGCTTAGCCATCATTGGAAGGATTTGATAAACCATTTCGGGTCTTAATTGATTGATCATGCTTAAGGTGGCTTTCAGACCGCATCCATTATTTTTTCGTCTCCCCCCTCCTCTTTTCCAAACATAGACTCGTCCATCTGAACAAACTGTCAAATCGCTCTCCGTGGTGCTAACGTTAACCGCCACTTTTTTCTAATTTTCTTGTTGTGGTTTTCACACCTGATGATGATTGCTTGTGTTGCAGTCGAAACGTCGTGAGAATTTTATTGTTTTATATTTTTATTATTTTATTGTTTCCCTTCTACGTGACATTACCGAAAGAACCAAGACTATGAATCCCTGCAGTCACGAAAGCTTTAAATCAAAACCTCCTGTTTGATTGCAAGAAAGGGTAAAAACTATTATTATACTTTGATACTGGCAAGAAAGGTGCCCCATATAGTCTACAGACTGTTGGAGTAAGTGCTGTTAGCGAGCACCTATGAAGGCCAGCACGGAACGTATGTATGTATGTTGAACTTATTTCGCAACATGCGTAGCCAACCGTGCTAGTCAGAGCTGCGGGGGAAGGACAACAAACTAAACACAAAGAGCAGTTCTAAAGAAATTAGTTTTCAATCTAGATTTTAAAGTGCGTAGCCCCAGTGGCTTCCTAATATCGAAAAGAAGAGCGTTCCAGACGGCCGCAGAAGCGTATCTGAAAGCGCCGCGCAATGCGGTGACCACCGTCTTTGTTGGAGGGTTTAGCGAGGATATCTTTGACATGTTTGGACGCGTATCTGCAACGAGTGCAACGTGTCTCATGTGTTCGATTCGCAATTCAATGCGAGCACTCGTGATGATTGGCGGTGCTTTCGCAAGTGTGTTCCCATTCATGCGCCAAGTGCCCCATCTACTGTTTACTCAGAGCATGCATTTTCCCTGAGTACTTAATAAGAGAGAGAGCACGTTCAAACACACTGTTCCGTGTGAGATACAGCACTAATTCTGAAAATTGGGGTCCCATCGGTAGCACCATCGATAGTCAGACCCCAGTAGCCAAAAAATCCTGTAATTAACTTCCTTGCTGCCAATATTCGTTCCGCTTCTCACCTTTGGGTGCTGATGAATTTCCAGACGTGCAATTAGTCAACCACAGCATCATTATAATAATGCCGTTGTTTCCGAGAAACCCGTACAGCAGCACATTTTGTGTGTGTGTGTTTGTATCCTTGGTGAATAGGTTTTTGTTGTTGTTTTGTCGGAAAGAGTGTTAAGATTAATTTTAATTAGGTCCATAGGGACGAAATATTAAAAGAAAAACACTATTATTTGTTGCGAAAAATAAAGACGACTCTTGTAAATAATTGTGACACTACCAACTGCTTCAAAGCCTTTGGCGGAACAATACGAGCATATCCAGCTTGTGTCAAAACCTGGGATAAACAAACCCGTACATTTTGAAATCCCCACTACAGTATAATTATACTTTCATGCACGGTGGACTCAGTAATGTGTAAACAAAACATTGTTCATGCTTAAATGTGACACATTGGCACTTACAGGTGTAGCACGGGGAGATGAACAAAATGAATAAGTGCCTCCGTTACATCTTTGGTGCCTGCGCTTGTACATATGCACAAACAGCTAAGCTTGTAACGTGGCTCGAACATTAGTTCTAACAGCAAAGGCTTTCTCTAGAGCACAAGTTAGAGCGTAGTCAGCGAATCGGTGGTGCAGCAGTGCTTCGTGCATTGCGCTTTGAGCTCGGTGGCCTAAGTTTGATTCCTGGTCATGGCTAACATTGGTGGTGGGTGATATCTGAATTGATCCCGGCCCCCCCGAACTAACCAGTGTGGCTGAGGTATGGTCAATAGACCCCCATATGACCGACAAAGTGGGGGAAGGCCGTCATTCAGCAGTATATTTACATTCACTGGTTTGTTGAATATTGTTCGCGATGATACGAACACTTGTAGAGGTGCACACACAGCATTATGGGTACCCGAGCATGCTCTCCATCGGTGTCAGAGGAAGAACTCGCGGTGGCACTCAAAGAACGGAATGCGTCCAAGAACACGCTCACAGAGGAGATGGAGCAATGAAGTCGGCACACGTGGAGCTGCTCGCCGTATTATTGCATCGCAGAATCATGAGATGGCAAAAGCATGGGGAGCCATTAGTCCAGCAGCAGATTGAGCAAAGCTGACGACTTTGATGGTGGAAAGTTCTATATTGGGTATTTAGATGAGGTGTGCAATATACAGTTTGGTGTAATTCCAGCCATGCATTTGTCTTTCTCTGCAATGGCTTCACAAATGACGCCTCATCAAGGACGTTATGCAATTAGGGTTTTTGAAACACTCTGTCACGGAGGTTCTGGACCATAGAATCAGAATGTTTATTTACACTGAAGGAGGAATCTGATGAGCTATGAAGCTCTTTTTCACAGATGTCCAGTAGGGGCAGGTCAGAACGTTACAAAAATACAAAGGCACTATAGGAGTGCAAAGTATAGGGGAAAGGTAATCAATTCCCCCAAAAAATACAAATAAAACTAAACTATTTTTATTTTACCAGGTAAAGCCCACTGAGCGATTAGCTTCTTCTTTTTCAGAAGTGACCTGCCCACAAACGATAGCTTAACAAAGTGGCTAATTTATAGCGGCCAAATAATCTAAACAATCTAAAGCGTGGCGGGCGCGTGGGAGAGCAACCGTAACAGCAACGGCAACAACCACAGCGGCCGTGAGCCCGGGAGGACGGCGGTGGTTACCTGGGCACCCAGATCATTGTAGAGCAGCTTGAGGGAGGTGAGCCGCTCGTCCAACTCCTGGGGGTCTTCCGTCTGCTGCTTCTGCACGATCTGCCGCCCGGTCTTGATCACAGCCTCCACCTCGGTCTTCACCTCGCTCAGCGTCTTGTACAATTGCTGCGCGGTAAAATAAAGAGGAAGAGTTCCGTGAAAGCGTTTGTCCACCCCAACCCTCACCACCCCGGCCCGTCAGCAATACGCGTCGCGGTGACGAGATGTTAACTACCTCGCCTGGTATACAGGAGGACGTGGGTTCAATCCTGATCCTGACGCCTGCTCTATATTTGCAGTTTGGATGCCTCTCTTTCCGTGGTTGCGTGGATTTTTCTCCGGGTCCTCAGGTTTTTCCCTCCACATGTAGAATCAACAACGTGTGTTCAGAGTATCTGGCTGCTATAAATGTCCACGTGATGATAAGCCACTTCGTTGAGCTATCATTTGTGCCCAAGTTGCTTCTGAGAAAGAGCTTCATAGCTCAGTGGGACCTTACCTGGTAACATTTTAAATAGGTTAGTTTTATAAGCCAGACGGTTATTCAGGGCAAGTCGAACGGGTTTTGTGTTACAAACACTCAGTTCGTAAATAGACTTAGGAGAAATTATTAAAGAGTACAGCGGCTTTATTGAGTTGTTTGTACGGTGCAATATTAATCCCAGGCACACGAGGTCTGATTCCTTTGCCTCAGACAACGCAAGTGACGAGTGAGACCTGAGAGTGGGTCGTGGAACCCCCAACTTGGCCTGACCAGTTGAGTGAAGCAGAGTCTAGCTCGGATTTTAAATATGAGATTATATGAATGAATGTTTCCTCATTCAGTATTACCCAAATGCATTAATTGTATAAACATAATATTGTATGCGAATGCATGTACAGTAAAACCTTGGATTGCGAGCATAATGCGTTCCGGAAACGTGTTTGTAATCCAAAGCACTCGTATATCAAAGCACTCGTACATCAGTTGTGATCACGTGATGCTCGGCAGACAAAGCGTCTATACGTACTACTCGTATTGAAAGACCTCGCTCGTTTATCAAATTAATATTTATTTACATTTTTTTGCTCGTCTTGCAAAACACTCGCAGACCAAGTTACTCGCAATCCAAGGTTTTACTGTATATGGAATACATTTATTTATGGGAAATATTAGGATTTTTCTCCATCATTCATAATGATTTTCAAAACTCTTTTACTGAAACAAGGAGACCTTGTGCAAGGAAACAAAGTACAAACCCAGTGATAATTATTTAGTACGGATACCTGACGCACACAGCCACACAGCAACGTGTAACATACACCAATAATTCGGATTAAAACATTTGTCAACTGTCAACATTCATTAAGCATGTTAATGAGTACAGTTTATTTTGTTCCAGCTCAACATCGCTTGCACTATACGGACACTCGTTCCACACGCGAGCGCCTCCCATGCTCCCCGAGCACATTTGCGACAACTTAACTGCAACAATGCCAGCGTGGGGGCAGGTCAGCAAACACTTTACCCCATTAAAAGCGTACCCAAGTCATTAAAAGTTTTGGCGAAAACTGTTTTACTCGATTAACGAAGGTAGGGGTGGGGGGGACGACGGTGTCACACCCGGTACTCTTCAGCCCGAGTGGAGCGTGACGCCAAATCCTCGCGAGAGTGATGCCGTGGCCGCAGCCGTTTACCGAGAGGGCCGGTGATGCCGTACGTACGCACGTACGTGCGTATGTTGAACTTCTTTCGCACCGCGTGTGTACGACCTTGCTATTGCAAGTGAATATTACGTTTAAAAAATTTAAACTGCAGATCAATCAAAGTTAACCTGCCAAAAAACGTCTTCTAGGCATTACGACCGAAAACACTTGCAATGCACATGCTGCCTTTGACCCTGAATAAGCAAACACTTAAACTATCATATTATTGGTTCTTTCGGTAAAGTCATGTAGATGGGAAACAATAAATAATAAAAATATAAAACAATAAAATTCTCACGACCACAGCAAGAAAATTTTCTTGCTGTGGTTTTTCACACCTGATGACGATTGCTTGTGTTGCAGTTGAAACGTCGTGGGAATTTTATTGTTTTATATTTTTTATTATTATTGTATTGTTTCCCTTCTACGTGACTTTACCAAAAGAACCAAGAATATGAATCCCTGCAGTCACGAAAGCTTTAAAGCAAAACTTAAACTATCGTCATGATGAACTAATAATAATTAAATTAATTATGAAAACGGCCAAATAATCATCGCTCCGTCAATTACTCGGAAAACATTTGGTAAAGCATTAATTTAATTGCCAACGATCAAGTTTGTTATTTCGTTTGCCAGGAAACAAACAATTTTCGAAGAACAATCGATCATCACAATCTGACTGTATTTATGAAAATGGACCAGAGGATCATTGTGGATCTTCGATTCAATCGCGGTGTGACGATCAGCGCACAGCACTTGCAGTCCAGAGGTAACCGGTTCAATTCAATCTCCCGGTGAGGTAGTCGAAACAATGGTACAAGTTTCTTAATTCCCCCCCGCCCTCCGCCTCTGTTCATCCAGCGGTACAAATATCTACAACACCGCAGTTAGCACATCGACAGCAGGTCACGTGTGGTGAGGCAAAGTGTGGACACTCCCACCTCTTCATAAATGTCCCGCCAGCATGGAAAAGTATTAAACTATTTTATTTTGCCAAGTAAGGTCCACTGAGCTATATAGCTCTTTTTCAGAAGCGACCTGGCCACAAATGATAGCTCAACAAAGTGGCGTTATCACGTTTCCACATGACAACAGAGTGGCTTATCACGTGGAAATTCATAGCAGCCAAATACTCTCAATGCACGTCGATTCTAAATGTCAGAGGGGAAAAACCGGAGGACCCGGAGAAAAATCCACATGACCACAGTGAGAACATACAAACTCCAAATATACAGCAGGCGTCAGGGTCAGGATCAAACCCACGACCCTCCTGCATGCCAGTCGAGCCAGTTAACATCTCCTAGCCACCGTGACCAAACACCCTGCCGGAAGTGCTCTTCTCGGACTCTATAACAAGGGAGGCCCTTCCGGCAACAGAGGCGTGAGCACGTATTGAGGGGCTGCACTCGTACCTGCACCTACACAGTGTCACTCAAAATCCACTTCGGACACAAAGGTCTCAAACTGTTACAGCCTCACGTCGGTTCTCTGCTGTCGCTCCCTCGGTGTGGAATCCTCTATCCCTTCGCACATCTGCAACATCAAATGCACTCTTGACTTTCAAGAAATATCTGAGGCCTCTATCCGTTTTGGTCAGGGATTTCGAGCAGCCGTGAACTTGGCTCCGCGCCTCTGAATTGTTGACTTGTCTGCAAAATCTGGCCCGTTATAAATGTCATTATTCATTATTTATGATTATTATCAGATATTTAGTGTGATACATCACACGATCGCCAATCGTAGTGCAGCACCACCACTTACCATGCAGTGCTCCAGCTGGGCCTGGGTTCCCTCCGGCTCGGCACTCGACACTTTCACGAGCGGCACCTCCGAGTTCACGTCCGTCAAGATGCGCCGGCACTCCGTCACGCGCCGGTCAAAGTCCAACGGCTTTTGGAAGAGACGGAATTTTGTCTCCACCTGCCCCAGCTTTTTCTGTGATGGCAAACGCAGCCAGTCACGCGAGTCAACAAATCGTTTAAAACAAAAAGGCGACCGTACTAAAGTTATTATTATTATTATTGACAACGCATGCTTTCGCAGCCAATAATAAAAAAAAAATTGGGCTATGCCACGTAATGACCAAGCCAAATTTCTGTTGTAAGCCCGTTGCACCACTTAATCGGGCCAAACAAATTCAATTGTCACATGTATAAAAGGAAAATCTATTTTGCATGGCGATATTATGTTGTTTTATCCTATGAAACGGTTGGAGCCATGGTTGTTTACGCTCTGTGAAAAGAATCTGCAAAACCATGGCCTGGGAGTTTCATTTCCATGCCATGGAGAACATTAGAGGCAAGCGAATGACATCAGGACCAGTCTGGATTCTTACACACCCCCCACCCCCATTCCCTCCATCGCCCCCCCCCCCACCCAAAGCCTTTAACAACCTTTACTGACGAACCACAGGCGCTGCACTATGAACCCAACGACCTGAACTTCAATTCCCTGAAACCTCTCCTTGGTTACCCTTCACCAACCTTATTTGCACGATGAAGTATGGTCAGACAAATTCCGTCATTGTCATGGAGTGGCAAGGCATGTTCATCATCATCATTATTATTATATGCGCCAAGTACAATTCCGTTTGAAAACATAAGTGTGTGTAATTTTTAACAGGCACAACAATGTTACCCCTGCCAGAAAACAGCACGCACCAGGTGGCACTTAGTTTACCAACTCTCAGGTGAATGGAGTCGATATTAATAAAAAATTCGTGTCCATGTTTCTTCTTATTTCTCAGTGCCTTTCGCGCGAGCGCAAGTGGTCGTGTGGTGGATGCGTGGTGGTGGCGGAAAGAAATACTTTAGCGAAGACCTCTTTCATTCCATACATTACATACATTAAGGCGCCACGGTGGCGAGATGTTAACTATCTTGCCTAGGATGCAGGAGGTTGTGGGTTCGATCCCAACCCGGACGCTTATATATTATGGAGTTTGTATGTTCTTCCTGTGGTCGCGTGGATTTTACTATGGGTCCTCCCATTTTTCCCTCCACATTCATAAATATGCGCTTTGAGTAGTTGGCTGCTATACATTTCCACGTGATAAGCCACTCTCGCTGAGCTATGGTTTCTGGCCAGGTTGCTTCTTAATAAGAGCTACATAGCTCAGTGTGCTTTATCTGGTAATAAAACATTTTTTTAAAAACAATTTGTAAATTTGCTTACAATTTGCCCTATGTAGAATACACATACATGGCACTGACAAATGGCATCCTACACTTTCGTAAGCGACATCGGTCGTTCAATTTGTATCACCGTCACGTTAACTCATACATGACCTTGACACTGGGTCACGGCAAAATACAGATTACGCACGCCACAGGATGGGTGGTTTGAGAACAAAATCATCATCGCACGCCTAAGCACACACACTGCCCATTATTCAAGTCAAAAGATGCTCAGAGCATTCCCGAGGGGCGCTGTGTCCATATCTTTATGATATTTGGCTTCACAACACAGAGACGGTGTGTGAATCTTTAATCTTCAAAGTGCATGTTATAATGCATGCAGTCGCCAAAGCTGCTCATTACAACATTCAACAGCTTCCATGGGTTTCTCAAATTCTCACTCTTGCTGATTAAAGGCTTAAAGGAAAGGCACTGCCTGTGGTTCACACCCAGGTTGTGCTATGCTCTTTTATATTCACGAAGGAAAACGGAGTTCAATGGAACACCCGCGAACTATAAACACGAACTTATGCATGTTAAGTCAACCTTGCAACATTCTCTAAAAGAGGTGGTCTTCGTTGCCTTTGAGTAAAGTCGTCCCAGTGTTGTTGCATCAACATAGCAATCCTCGGTGCCAATTGGTGATGCAGGGAGGCCGAGTAAAGGCGCAGCACTGCAATTTCTTGCTCGTGACGCTGCTGGTGGAAGGGCCTCCGCTAGAAGGAGCTCTAGAGGCCTTCGTAGAGGTTGTGAGGCCTGTTCCATAAAACAACGTGAGAACAATATTCCCTGAGCTCCTATTTTAATCAGTGTCCATTAAGACGGATTTTTTTCCACTGACACCAATTGTATGCAACTGTGCCGCGGGATCTGTTTAGCTATCACTCAGCACTGATATTAGCCATGGCCGGGAATTCAACTCGGGGCAGCTGGCGTTCATGCCTCTGTGTGCTTATCATTGCTCAATTCGCAAATGTGATAAATGGGAAAGATTTCTTACATTTTCGTTTTGTATAAAATATTTATATTTGCCTTCCAAGGCACGAAGGGTTAAAACAAATGAAACACGGAGATATTAAAATAATTATTTTCATCCCCGTTTATGAATTATGCAAAACGCGTTCAACTTTTTGCAGTTTCTTCAAACAGCAATACAATTAAAAGTGTAATAATGGAAGAAGAAATACTTTTACAACTATAAAAGAATGAAACAAAAAAATATATTGCTCGCTGTGATGCTACAATGAGTTTGAATGGGCTACCAATCTCACTGGCTGATGAGATACAATTACATTCAATGGTTTGTATGCTTCCGAGTGTAATATAGTGGTATTTTACTAGAATGTTATGTAAAAGTGAAATGATTGTTATATTGTGACTCCTTGCACGGTGAAAGCAATCAAGACACTGGTTAATGGGAAACAAAATGGAAAGTACATTGCGCCTCAAGAACGTAGCTATACGTGTCAACTTCGCACATCAGGAAGTGCCGTCAATGTGTGAATATGTCACGGTGGTGCAACAGTGATTGCTTAAAATATGTTGATGAACCAGGTAACTCGAGACCAGACTGTGCCTTGAAGCAACTTTTAATAAACAGCAAAAGTGGGCTGAGTTGTCACAGCACTGAGCCAACGCCACTGAAAACCTGGGTTCTAATCCGTTTTTCAGCCACGCGTATATTCGACCAAGTTGTCAAGCAATGGCACGATTGTCTCAGACCCATCACCAATGACCGCACAGTCATTCCAAACACTTTAAACATCTCTGTGTTAGCAGGGCACAAGGGAGATCATCGTGTGAATGGACTTCAGTAATTCTGTCAAAGCTGCTTCCACAGATCTCATAGTGTGTGGATAAGAGGTCATCATTTGAAGGGATTCTCCTCAGAAGTAGTTCTGTGATGTCTGCTTTTTGCAGGCCATTCTCCAACACAGGCTGGCGACGGACTTGCTCTGCGAGAGTTCTGAATGTTCAGCTTCATCCCTTGACGTTTCGACACCTTGTGACACGGTGCCTGCAGCACAGCTTGAATCAAATTTCAAACGCGGACAAAATAAAAAACCCACCGCCCTATCCTCACCTGCGTAGATTCCAGCTGGCCCTTGAGGCGTGGAGAGCGACCCTCTGCTCCGAGCTGCTGAAGGCTCAGTTCGTACGTCTTGAGAGCCGTCTGAATTTTCTGCACGGCGCAAAAAATAACACAACGCAAGACCTCGACTGACCGACAACGTCCACCAGACAACCGAGCCTTCAAGGTCCCCACGTAAAAGTGCATTAGCGGCGCTGTGCCGTGCCCGGCACAGATCCGCCATTCCCTTGCGCGCGTATTAAATGTCAGGTACCGGGGGCCAATATATTCGGAGGCACGTGGGCTGCAACTGAGTAGGAGCCTCGGGGCAGCAGCAAGGCAGATAAGGGGGCTGTGGCGTCCCATTGATTTCTTTCAGTGGCTGAGCCCCCACAATAATTGGAAACTTAACCTTGGCATGATCGGTCCTGGCTCAGCGCACCGAAGCTGAAGCCCACCGACTTAGGCTCCTGCGCGTAAATTTTGGCCCCACAGTGATAGATTCGGACACGCAGTGGCAAAACATTAGAATCCAGTCCTTGTTTGCCATTCAATAAAGTTTAGACACCCTTTTTTTTGGGTGTGCGCACGTTCTGTTGTTGGTGCTACAAATAGGCCCGGCACAGCAAGAGAGCCGTTGCAATGTCCTGGCTATCTCCTCCATCGAGCCACTTCCTTCAGCACTGAACAAAGCACATCCCAGGCTCCTGACCCAGTTTTCTCCGTCACTCGGGAGTGGAGCCATGATAACTGCTTCAGCAATAGACCCACCGCGGAACCAGCTTGTAAGATACATCATCACAAACATTGCACAAAATTTGTATTCATCAATAGGAAGAGTGCTAAAATATGCAAGTGAGATATTTCGGCTGTGCTGCCCTCTGCAGGAATATAATACAAGGACGTTGTGCTTATTCATTTCTCGTTGGTTCTTTCGGTAAAGTCACGTAGGTAAAAATAAAATAAATTAAATCACGACGTTTCGGGTGCAACACAAGCACCCGTCATCAGGTGGGACAACCACACAAAGAAACAACTGCTGAAGTGGGCAAAAAAAAACTTCAAATCTAGATTTACGTTGTGCTTCTTATTAAGTTTGTTACTCTGATGTGATTACTGCTGTCAATTCAAACGTACAGCGAGAGTTTAGTATTCAGGAAAGCCCTACGTGGCATGTTCAGCCAATCCTTTGCGAGTGTTTTTTTTGTGTGGAAGGAACCCGAGTGTGTTAGAGAACCCTCTATCCAAAGCACGCGCACGATTTGCCACATTGCCTTGCGTGCATCCTCATTCATCGCCACCCGGTTAACGTGATTTTTATTTCATGCTTTTTGTTCGGGGGACTTGAATTGTCCCGCGGTTTATCCGGATGCGCGGCGTGACGAGCCGTGTAACATCGCGCCTTTACCGTACTCACGGTTAATGTACCCGCAGTATTAATCAGGCTGGCCGACAGTCTCGAAACGCACAAGTCCGCAACAACAGCGGCAAAAAAACGCGCTGCCGCTCGGCATCGTCACTGCAGCGGTGCCTTGGCGCTCACCTGCGCCTCCTGCGGGACTTGCAGCGCATCCACCTTGTCGGCCAGGTGCTTGGCGAGCTGACGGTCGAGCTCAGAGAGGCCGTCCGCGACGGTGCGGAGCGCGCGGTCCGTCTCCTGCCGGTCGTGCTGCAGCCGGGACAGAGCGCCGCGGCGCTGGGCGGCCTGGGCAAAGACGACAGGCAGAAGAGTTTCTCCCGCGTGGCCTCGACGGACTGTGTCGGGGGGGGGGGGGCAAGCGCTGTTGGCGAGCACCGACGAAGGCCGGCGCGGCACGCGAGGGGGTGGGGTTTGGCGACTCCCCAGCGGCGACGTTCACGCGACGCACCGGGAGCGCTGCGTCCGTAGCGCGGCGCGATAAACCGCGCCGCCGCCGCTCCACCGCGCTGCAGCTGGAACTGAGCGACAGGCCGCTGGGCGGCTCTGCGGTGCGGGGTGACGCGAAGCAGGGCTCGCGACGACGCGTCCGTTCACCGATTGCCATCAATCGAGGGGCTACGATTTTGGCTCAGGTGGTCGCGGGCGACGTGGATTGGAATCAAGTTGACGAAATCCTGGAAGTGGTTGCAGAAACAAATGAGAAAAGCGCCCCCTTTGATTTCCTTTTTTAAAAATGCCGCACGTTATGCGCTCAAAACACGAGCCTGTATTATATATAGGTTTGTATTTTCAGCGCTGTGGCAGCTGTCAGACTGCCCCTATGCAAAACAGGCACTTGTATTTAGATGAGTTTTTAAGCGACGACATTCGAATTGATTCGAAATGCCCAAAAAATGGAATGCCTATAAATGACCATTACCATTGACATGCCACTGCTGTCATCGGGCATTCACCACTCCCCCCGACACTCAAAACTCATCAGTCATGAACTCACCTGACCCTCGCCTCTCACCAGTCATCAACTCACTTGACCTTCACCACTCACTCACTACTTTATACAACATTGTGAAAGGGCCCTTGAGCATCAACGTTGCATTTCGCCTCTCCGATTTTGAATGGGGCTCACATCCGTGGCTGAGCTATTGTAAACAATAGAGTTCATAAGCAGAGTTTTGGCCATATTCTCAGCTTTCAAATGAGACAATATTCATTGAAATTGGTGGAGAGTTCTCAGACTCTGTGTTCTGTCATTTTAACAGTTGTTGTTCCGATTTCTATTCACTTAATTGGTGAGGTTTGTTCTTCGTGATTTTTTTATTCTGTCATGTTGGTTATTGAGGTCACTTTTGCAATTGAGTCGATTCTGGTCTCTTGCATCAAACAAACTTAAACTGAGGAATTATGTGGAGAAAAACCTATATATATACATATGCAATCCTACAGATTATGAAGAAAAGGTGTTACCCTTTCTGGCAATAAAACCTTTTGCAAGGAATTAAGTTACTGCATTAACCACACTCAGTACTTGTGGTGAACATGCAAACAAAACTTCGTCTGATAATATAAGCATTGTCTTTGAAACTGATTGGCCTACACCAGACAGCCTTCTTTATTTATTTGCTTATTGTAGAGCTCCTTACATTCACAACGCACGTGTAAAATAAATAATGCAATGATGTGCAAATTATATGCCAACGTTACATTTAGGTTAATTAAGTGAACCAAACTATATAACTGGGATATAACAAACAAGAAACAAACGAGAGAGTAAAAAAAAGAGACGTAAAATAATGATTACCTGAATCAAATCTTGACGAAGAATTGTGACAACTGATACAAAACAATAATTAATTTAGGGAGGTAAACCATTGCATAGCTAACACGCAGGGAGGCTCTTGCCATCCCTCATTCTTTACCATCGATGTTTTTCCCCTTCTCATTCCTTAAGGAGCTTAGGAGTTCATACCGACAATATTACACAGCAAGGCGACGATCAATGTTACGTACTTAGATGTTAGTCATATAGTCATACTTGGAGCACGTCGCCCATTAGGCAATACACTCAGCCATGGCTATTGAATCAGGCTACACGTACAGTGAGGGAAAAAAAGTATTTGATCCCCTGCTGATTTTGTACGTTTGCCCACTGACAAAGAAATGATCAGCCTATAATTTTAATGGTAGGTTTATTTGAACAGTGAGAGACAGAATAACAACAAAAAATCCAGAAAAACGCATGCCAAAAATGGCGAGCATCTATGAAGGCCGGCACGGCACACAGGGGGTGGTTGGCCAGCACCACGCCCGACCGCCTTTGTCTCCCCAGTGGCGATGTTTACACACCGCACCAGGTACTCATTTGAGCCCGAGTCGACCTAGGGGAGGCCGAGGACCGGTTCAGACCAGGGTCATACACACGCAGACACGCACACACAGGTGAACCCTCCACCCCCGAGGCAAATATTAATTAAGCTCATGTAATAATATACAATGCAGCATCAGTAGGATTTATTGCACAAGGGAGCATTACACGTGCGGTAATATAAGCTCGACCATTCCGCTGTTCTAATTGATTGCCAAATCGAAGCGTTCAATCTAACGCTAGGAAAGCGCGCAGAGATGTGACCGCGAGGAATAGGCATTACTTTTCAGGATGCTTGTCGAACGCCTTGCTGCCCTTTTTGTATAGCCATATATATTGTAGGGGTTGAGTGCTGTTAAGACAGAGAGGGAGCACGAGAGGAACGGTGTAGTCGCTACCACGCCAATCCACCTTTATGTCCCCAGTGTTGATGTTCACAGGCCACACCAGGTACGCATTTTAGACCGAATATAGCAGAGGCCCACAACAGGTTCAGAATCCACTTGCCACTGATAATCATCACAATAATTTGCGCGCATGGCCTTGAACGGGGATCAAACTCAGGTTGGCCAAATCATAGAATACTGCGCCACTGTTTCCCGCACGTAATTAACGCACTAGCTCTAACCACGCACACACACAATAGTATGCTGCAGAGAGAATCGCTCTGCACAGCCTGCGGGCTTATTAGGCACTAACTAGCCGACAACTTGAACCACACTTGCATGAGCCGATCTTTTACCTGCACATCGGAGCTGCATGTCAGCGGAAATCTCGTAAAACCAAACCCAGCGTCCATGTCAGCGTGACACACACACACACACAAAGTTCAAAAACTTTCGGCACACACCGCTGACGCTCGAGGCATCGTTCCAGAAAGCCGACACAATAACAACAAATAAACGCTGCTGGATCGTCCCTGTAACGGTTCCCTGCCGCCCTCTGTGCCCGCACTGTACCGCGACATGTCTTTGCACGTTGTGTAATCGTGACCGAAGGCTTTGGCTAAACTTATCTCCGCAAAGCTGCAGGGGAGGTGTAAAACCTGCTTGCCATCTCTCTACGTTGCCAACCCACGGGACGGCAACACTCTTTCGCTTGTGATGGAAGTGATGAGCAAGGATACGTGCCGTATCTGTAATCCAGCGGCAAATCCCTCCGGGAGGATTTGAGAAAAGCTCTGAAGAGAAACATTTTTTTAGAAATTAAGCATGAGGGCTCCGTAACGCTTGCGGTCTTGTAAACGTAACTTTACTCGATGTTAACGGCGTAATGTTCGTCAAGTTGATTTCTTTTTTCCTTCGGTAAATAATCACTGTTTGCTTTCGTGTATCTGTAATTCAAAGAGCTTACTGAAATTTGGAAATGTATATTATATATAAGTATCAAAAGAGAAACGGGCAAGTAATTTTAAACACACTGCTGTTGATATGTTGGCACTTTTAAAGGTTAATTGTCTATCCAGACTGTTGGGACTGTAATTCTCATCTAAATATAATTGTCCAGACAATTAAACCCAAACTACAAACCACAAAGCCTTGATATTCTCATGAATAAAAAGATAACAAACCTATTAGGCTGCAAACAAATGATTTCAGACCACCACCAAAGCGTGCAATTTATTTTTTTCCGACTGCCGATTGCACAAACTTTTGTTATTTTCCGACCAAGTGGAACCTTGCTCTCGGAGTTGAGGTTAACCCACTTGCCTTCCCTCCAGTGACCTGGCTCCGATTAAATGGGGATTATCAGTAGCTTTGAAGCACAATGGGTCCAACAAGGAATTCAGAACGCAGACACGAAGCCAATTTTCCACCCCTGTTAATTTTCCTCGTGAAGTCAGTAACGAAAAAAATGTACAGACCAAGGCTTTTGTTGAAACACGAGGCGACGGTGGCTGTGAGTTGGATGAAAAATCGTCACCGGTGACAATGACAACGGCTTGCCCCAACCAAAGGCCGAAGCCCGACCTGACTATGACGAGACAAAATCGACGAGTCTGAATGAAGACGCAGACTAAGAAAATGCAATATTGTCATTGAAGACTGCAGTGAAATGGGGAAAAAACTAAAATTATTAGTGACAATATATTCATATGATTACTGAGTTCAGTGATTGGTTGACCTGATAATACTGGGGAGGAGGGGGGGGGGGATGGAATACACCCCCCTCACAGCAACATTTAATAACTGAGTGGACTACATTGTTTTACTGCTTAAGTCAACAAGAATAACAGAATGGATAATTGAAATCCACAGACCAATACTTGACTAAAATCCTACAGGATGACGTTGACTAGATGAAGGGCCGGTGACATGGCCTAGCAGGAGCGCATTCCCTGCTTGTTGCTGAGGTTCAGGGTTCGAATCCAGCAGTCGCTCTGATTAATACTGCGGGTGTATAACCCCTAAAATACACGTGCCGTCTGCTTCACAGTGGGACATTAAAGATCCCGTGACGTCATTCTTAAGAGCATATTAGCACGGTTGGCAAAGTACGGTGCAAAAGAAGTGCAACAACAAACATGCAAACAACATCATCACGTTTGTTTGTTTTTTCAAATTGGGAAAATTACTCGCAAATTACTCAATTGGGATTACAGAAAGCAATCATCGCTTCCCCACGCCTACTTAAAAAAAAACTTGGCAGGACCCTTCTGCAAAAAGAATCATTATGAAAAGAAATAGTAATGTTCGTGTAAAAAGAAATGACATAAACGTCGCTGGCAAAAATGAAACACTGCACAGTTGCATGTGATGGAGCCTCAACTCCCCAAATCCACCTCCCCCCCACCCGCAAGATGAGGGGTGTCAAACATTGAGGACAGTCGCCACACAGGCGAGGTACAGATGGTACATAATGAGGCTGATTACTTGTTTGCAGACGTGGCTGCCAACACATCGAGTGCCGTCGCAGTGCACAGACCGACACGATGGACAATTTAAAGAACACTGACGCAGGCTAGGCTGGTCACAACAAAGAACAGGCGAGGCTGGCCATAACAAACCCTGGATTTTGACTTCTGGCTTCTTGACCGCAAGCACACCTCAACTGTAGCTCTCCAGTTGCAATCCCGGTGCTGAAGAATTTGTAAAAGATTTACCCACAATACAGGTTTATTTTGGGTTAGATCGTGTAAATATATAAATGTGTCGTTAAACCCGCCACCACGCGACACAGCCAACTAGTAAGGTTTGTCATGTAAACAGAACGTGGCAATTCGTCACTAGTACAGCACACCGGTGTGTTGGAGAGCCAAGCCACAACATTTACAATCTGAGTACGATGTTTCGCCAGTAATTACAACTAGCACCATCAGGCGGACAGCCAGATTTGTGCTCTCCAACACGCCAGCGTGCTGAACTAGTAATGAATTGTGATGTTCTGTTTACGTGACAATACTTACTAAATGTCTGTGTCGGGTGGTGGTGGGTTTAACGACACATTTATATTTACGTGACCTAACCCAAAAAAACCTGTATTATGAATGATATTGGTCACGAAAGCCTACGTGTTAAACTAAAAGATGTATGTTCAAGTAGCAGTCACGCACTGCTGCCAGATTGAATGTGTTACTTCGCAGGAGAGTGAGGAAAAACAGCTCCAGTGGGGAGGCCTTCATTCAGCAGTGGAAAGATAACGAGTTTACTAATTTGGCGGTGAGAGAAAATAAAATATCTGCCAGGAAATAAAGAGATAAATAAAATAAAAACCTCGTTATTATTAGTGGCAAGGTGAGATGTTAACTACCTCGCCTGGGACACAGAAAGTGTGGGTTCGATCCCGACCCTGACACCTGTGTATTTGGAGTTTGCATGTCTCTCTCTCTCTCCGTGGAAGCGTAGATTTTTCTCAGGGTCGTCCGGTTTTTTCCTCCACATTTAGAATCAACATCAAGCGTTTTGAGTATTTGGCTGCTATAAATTTCCACTTTATAACCCACTTCATTAAGCTACCATTTGTGGCCAGGTCGCTTTGAAAATAAAAAAAATATATATAGCTCAGTGGGCCTTACTTGGTAAAAAAAAACATCATTTAGTTTAGTTTTACCCAGAATCTGCCCAATCTTGGAAGCTGATCAAACGCTGAGCCTGGATAATGGGATGGGCAGCAGCAAAAGAGATGGGACGCAGATGGCAGACAGACAAAAATTAATTGTTGTGCAGCACTTCAATGTTTCCTTGACTCACACACCCCGCCTTCACTAACCCACTCGAGTGACCAGAGTGGTGAATACGATCACTTGACCCCACACGACCTCCACAGTGCGCAGAGGCCCGTGAACCAGCAGCGGAATTATCAGGGAAGGGCTGTACGTGTACATGGAGCATCTCCCAAGAAAAGCATTGCTACTCCGTGAGTCACAGTGGACGGAAATTTTATATGGTACATATATGTGTGTCTACACAATGCCTCAATGCGGCCAGTGCTTAATACAGGCAGCTTATCCCCATGACTACGCCACACATGGCTCTCAGCCTTTGTGTGCCTGCGGAACCCCGATGAGCGGCTGCACCTCTGAATTGTCGCCGCGGTCCCCCTTGTTGCGACCACCTATCGCGGGCGGTCAGCGGTGCACCACACCGCACGGCCGGCGGTGGGTCACACCGCACGGTGGCGTATGGCATGGAGTGGTGCACCCCCCACTATAATCCGGTGTGTTGGCAAGGTGTGGCTACTGGAGAGTGTTCAGGAATCTGGTGGCGGCACGGCCCTGCGGTAGCGCTCTTGCCGCTTAATCGCAGACCTCTTATGTGGACGCAGACAATGACAGGGGCTGCTATTTTAGTGCGCGCAAGCGACAGGAGGTACAGGAACAATGCGCGTGCACAATATACGTTGATTACCAAATTAATAACCCAACCGTCAATGGACATCCATTGTAATTTGTACGCGTTCATTAATCCCTCCCACCCCTTCGCACGTGAAGGGCTCCCAGGTGACGTCATCAACATCCACCCTTCTATTTAAATCTGTCTGTCCGCCTGATGATGCGAGTTGTAATGACTGGCGAAACGTCGTACTCAGATTTTAAATGTTGTGAATTTTGCTATCCAACACACCGGCTAGTGCTGTACTAGTAACGAATTTGCAAGTTCTGTTTACGTGACAAACCTTATTAGTTGTCTGTGTCGTATGGTGGCGGGTTTAACGACACATTTAAATTATTTACCCAGTCTAGCCCAAGAAAACCTATATTATGAGGGCTTTCCTCACAGTGGATGTTAAAGGGCCCGTTGACGCCATTCAAAGAAAGTAGGCCCACTTTGTGCCGGCGCCAAGCTCAATATTTTGTGATTTTTCGAAAAAAAATTTCCACTGCAATTTACTCCATTGGAATTACACACAGTGGCAACATCGCCCCCTACTGTGAAACTGCGACACGCTGCGTCTGTGAAGCAGCGGCACCATCTGAACAAATTATGCGAAAATCAAATGTACATATTTATCATGATTTTCTTTTTTCACGTGCATGAGACTCCCAACCAGCTGAGCTATGAGACTCCCAGCACGAGGTGGGTCACCGATGGGTTATTTATTTTGCGTGTATATTTATCATCTGCCTCATATGCAAATACTTTGACTCGGTACTCCCCCTTAGGTACCCCTTGCCCATTTGCATATCACTTCAGGTATTTCCCAAGCATCCACATGCAAGACACTCGTGAAACAGCCTTGAAACTCAGCGAGGCATTTCTGCACAAAGGGCATTTCCCCGTTATCCTGGACAGCATCAGAATCTATTTTTAGACTGGATGAATCCGATGAGCTTATGAAGCTCTTTTTCACGGATGTCCAGTAGGGGCGCGGACAGAAAGTTGCATCGATAGACGTCTCCCGTTACATTGTTGGATCGTGGGAGACACCGCCGGGCTTGGGACATCCTTCATCCAGAAGTCGATTGAGAATGTCTGCTGATGAATATGATGATGATGATGATCAAATGTCTCCTCCTTCCCCGTACCTGCTGGGTGAGCTCCTCCCAGCGGAGATTGAAGGCCGCCAGCTTCTCTCCGATGATGTCGTCCAGGATGCCGCCATCAATGAGTGTCTGCGAGAGCTCACGCACATGGGTCCTGTTGTCCGTCGGGTGGGCCAGCAGCACGTCCAGGGACTGCCGAGCGGACACGGTCTCACGGTGAAGGTAGCAAAGCCCGGACGCCATCGCTTGAAAATGCGGCATGACAATTAAATGCTGCCGAGTGGAGCAAAGTAACAACTCTTAACTGTGCCCCTGCCCAATGGGGGGGGGGGATATTCTACATTACTATGGCAGAGGCCGGTTTAACCACGTAACTACCACGACTGATCAAAGTGGCGTTTTTTTTATAGTAGAGACTGGGGAAGTGACGAGTTGAGCAGAGCTGATGACAGGATTTGAACTCGCAACCTTTGAGATATGCGAGATCTCTGCACCACCGAGCCGAACGGAGCAATAATGCGTGCGTCTAAAAAAACAACAACAACAACAACAACCGGGGCCCGTTTCATTTTCCTCCAAAATTGCGGAGTAAATATTGGAGCGTGCAAACGGGGGAAAGCATTATTCAACGATACCGTCAACGATACATAAACATGAGCTCGGTCAAAATACTCGGAGGCATATCTCACACTCAGAGCGGCGGAGAGCGCATCCGGGTCTCCCTGGGAAAGGTCCGCACGCTTGATTGCGCCCTCCAAATCATCCAGCCACCTGTTCTCCACCTCCAGGTAGGAGAGAAGCTCGCTCCAGCACGCCCACACCTCCTGCGGCCAGCACAACGACCGACGCCGCGAGCATCACGCTCTGCACGCCGACGGCGGCGCACGCCGAAGACGATCCTTACGCGCTGTTACCGAGCGCCCCGGATGTTTTGTTGCAAATGTTTTCGATATTCTCCCCCCCCCTCCCCCCGGCCCACCCCGTTGCGGTGGTGTCATTGCTTAGGTACCGGTTGTGCCGGGTCTTCTGAGCAATATTTCTCTCGCAACGTCTGTAGACTATCACTTGAAGAGGAGAAAGTGAGTGCCCGAACGGAGCTTTTGCTGGATTTATTTTAAATCACGCAAGGAGTGCGGTCGAAGCACTTGGAAAATGGGACGATGAAATGCACGCGCAGAGCAAACGTCGGATTTATTTTTTAAGGCGCATCGTTATTCACTAATCGTGCGAAAGCACAAGAAAAATGTCATCGAACTTTATTGCTAAATTCCCATAACGAATATGCGCAAACTGTTAATGTCCACATTGCCACACATTCCGAGCGCTCGCACTACATTACGCAAATTCGTTTACACGTACTTTTGCAAATGGCCGCACGCACGCAGAGCTCATGAATCCGCCTCTATGCATGAGAGTGCATATTGCGTACATTCATTACATTATGCACATTGCATTAGGCGCATTTACATTACGTAAATCACACTAAGCACAATGTTGAATTGCATTGCATTAACCGGCTATGGGCAGGCCCATAATAACTGTTTAAGTGTTGCAATATGCAAAACCCTGTTATAGCTGGGGGGAAGTGCATCCATGGGTCACCTGCAGCATTGTGTGCTTGCCCTGAAGGCGGCTGCAAAGGCGCTGGTAGTTTGCCAACACAGCCGACAGCTCGCCCATAATCTTGTCACGCCCGGGTCCTGAGCTCTTGCCAACGAACGAAGTCACGGCATCCTTCAGTATCTTCACCTTCACCTCCTTGTGTGACAGCTCCTCATTGGCACGCTGGGAAAAATGCACGCAAGCACACGCGCGAAAATAAATACAGATACCCCCCCCCCCCGCGCAGACATACAGTCTGTTAGAGCAAGTTCTGTTAGCATGCACCTCGGAAGGCCGGTACAACAGCACCATAACTGTGTGGCCGGAACTATGACGGATGTTTACACAACACACCAGTTACTCATTTATGGCTGAGTCGAGCGAGGGGAGGCCCAGGACCGGTTCAGATAATCGTCACTGGTGATTTTGGCCGTGAGCGGGTATCGAACTCTGGCCGTCGGGTTCGTAGCGCAGCGAAGCGCTAACCGCTACACCGCCGCTCCCCACACCAAAGACCCCCCAAAAATAGCCTTAACAGACTGTTCGGGCAAGTGCTGTTAGCGAGCTCCCCACACCACACACACGCGTCTCACAAACGCGTCTGCATTGCAACGCACATTCGTGTCGACGTTTGGCCACGCACCTGTGCGAACGCACGTGGAAGCACAAGAAACGCAAGGCAGTTGCAATGGTAATTAGGCAGAAGTTGTAAAATGTCCACTCATTTATTTCCTTCTCTCTCCCTCTAGCTTGGTGCACCTTCGGTTTGAGGAGGTGACAATGATACGACAAAAACCACAATGATGCTGTCGCCTGATGAAGCTAGTTGTAGTTACTGGTGAAACGTCGTACTCAGTTTGTAAATGTTGTGGCTTGGCTCTCCAACACAGCGGTGTGCTGTACTAGTGACGAATTGGCCACGTTCTGTTTACGTGACAACCCTTACTAGTTGGCTGTGTCGGGTGGTGGTGGCCTTTAACGACACATTTATACATTTACGCGATCTAACCCAAAAAACCTCTATTATGGATGACATTTGTCGCGAAAGCCTACGTGTTAAACTCGCAATAATGCGGTCCGTTACAACGCCTGCATTCGACATCACCACGGGCAAACCTCACGGAGTCTCAGGACTCTTTCAGAAGGGTCCTGCAATGGAGGATATTGGACCGATTCCATAAACGAGTCGGGGGAAGGGTTGACATATTTACCGCCACCATTTTCCCGGTGCATTATCACAATTCAGGGTCTTGATTTGATTGAAGGAATCAAATCCGTTTAAAGGAGGTTGTTCGCAATTGAAAAAAAAGGGCCATGCTGTGGGCGACGATGCCCAACTGCTGCCTGTGCACCCAAGGGCCTCCACTGCCAGAGGCGCATCTTTACTGTCATGAATCCAAGTGGCACTCTACCGGAACAAACAATGAACACACAACTTCTCCTGCACGCGTTATTTTCGCGATCAGCCGCATCCCCCTAGCTTGTGTGCGCGAGCAGAGGGAGTCCCGGCGTCTTTTACCGAATTTTAAACAAAGCTGACTCTCTATCTCTGACGAGCCTGACTCTGTTAAAGGTCGAAAACCGGTCTCAGAGATCTACTTGATTAAATAATTGCTGCTTTATAATATCAGTCTGGAAAGCTAATAGGCCGATGGGTGATTTTTTTTCACTTACATGTGGAGACGTAAATTATAATTGTGCTTACATTTCATTTTATAGACCTTAATTATAATTATATTACGATGCTCGATTACCCACGATTCATTTTAAGGAGAGTACTTGCCCCGTTGTCGCAAGGGGGGGGGGGGGTTCCTTCCCCGCCCCCCCCCCCCCCATACAATTTTCCCTTTTGAGCAAACCTTGAGCTCGGCGACCGCAGACTTGAGGTCATCGGGGGTCTTGCAGTCGAAGTCCCTCTCCAGGTACTCCTCCTCGGCCTGCGTGATCCACTCCTGCATCTCCGCCAGGTCCTTGCGCAGCTCCCGCGTGCGAGCCAGAGCCTCCGTCAGCACCTGCTTCTGAGCCCTCGCCTGCACGGGCGTGGGGCGGGGGGCACGTGGGTGAGAGACAGCCAAGGGCCCAGGGGGAACGATGGAAGATCCAGAATAGAGCGATGGTGGATATGGAGGAAATCCGATTGTGTCCAATCGCGCGCGATGTGGATTATTAACACTGCAGGATCGTGAGAGATGGCGACGGCTTGGGAAGGCCAGCAGTGGACTGATCACCATGGCTTATGATGGTGATGAAATGTGACCCATTTATTGATACTCCACAGAAAAACATCGCTCGTATAGCTCGGTAACCCTTTGAGTTCAATTTAGCGGGACCGATTTCTGAGCACTTTTATAGACATTCCCCACCCCCCTCTTTAAAACCGTGACCCTTCACCTCCCCTGCCGCTCGGCGCTCCGACCGACCTGCTTGCAGACCGTGTCCCAGCGCGAGGAGATGGCCGAGAGCTCCGCCTGAATGGACGTGGCGAGCGGCGCCTCTGCCTGGCCCTTGAGGCTCTGGCCCAGGTCCTGGATGCTGCGCAGGCTGGGCTGCAGCGTGTTGATGTCGCTCACGAGCGCCTGCGGGGACGCCAAGGTGGATTGGCCGAGCAGACGCGGAGAGGCGCCGGTGAGCTTCACTCTAAAATGACGTTCCGCCCCCCACCGATTTCGTACAGAAGCTGCAACTCTCTTCTCTCGAACACGGAGCAATAATTTACACGGTCCGAAAAAATTAGTCGAAAGTGTACACGGCGAATAGCTTAATTGAGATGACACTTTGCAGTCATTGTCCCACCCCCCCCCCCCCCCCCCCACCACCCCCACCACTTTCAGAAAAATGCCCATAGTGCCGAGATGCCTTGTGCCCACACAGGGAAAGCTGCCACTCGGGGCGCTCTTTGAATGTTTGAGATAATACATCATGTAAGGTGCTTTTTGAGATGTTGAGGCATTTCATCTCCCTCTAAATACCGAATGTCCTCACGCCACCCGCTCGGCTCAGAGGCCCTCAGCGATCTGCTTTACAAAGCACCCCCATCAAGCCCCCCCCACCCCCGCCCACCCCCACCAATCACAGCATCACAAAAGCCCCATGGAAGTGAGAAATTCTTCACATTCGAGTAATTAATTAGTTCCTCACGGAGCCCGGTTTATGAATGGGTTTGTGTTGCGGAGGGGCGGGCGGGGGTGAAGCGAGGGGTAATTTACTTCAAATGTATCATCAAAACCCTCCCCACAAGTCAACCCAACTTCCCCTACTTCACCTCTTCCTCAACCTCTTTCTCTCTTTTGTCTCTCCATCCTAATAGGTTTGTGGATTTTTTTTAAATTTAATTAGCTGAGCAGCTGCTATTCCTTTTGCATGTTCATCGCTCATGCAAAGCACCGATGGTCAAATGCTGTCCGTTTGAGTAGCAGTGATAAATATTCTCTATTTCTCTAGGAACGCCTCATACAGTTTGGAGAATATTTAAGAGGGGTCCTTCTCAGGGATGTTTGGTCAATTCCTGATTAAGTATTTAATCCCTTATTAAGTATTCAATATCAGGAACACAACGGCATCACTTAAAGCACATCATCTGGCCAGGTGTCTCAGCAGTCGGGTCGAGCAGCTAGAAATTCATAATCAGAATTTTTTGTTATTTATTCTGGAGGAATCTGATAAGCTATACAGCTCTTTTTCATAGACGTCCAGTCGGGGCAGGTGAGAACACTCGAAGGTTACGGAGTTCAAATCCTGGTTGGGGGTTGACTCAGACCCCATCACTCCTCTTGGGTCGACAAAACAAGTACCACATTGTACAGAATTCAATGCCGCTTGTCCTATGGAGGAGACTCGTGCACCCATCCACCAGATTTATACATTTCCCTCACTGGCTCAGGGGGCCGTAACCAGAGAAAAGCGCTGCCTCTCAATGCCCATTTGAGCAGCAAATCACTTTGAAAGCACATTGGCACGGGGCTCAAGAATATACGCACAAAGCGGGACATTGCTTCGCTACCCCACAGCAAGGGTTTTACAATACGACGTGGGTTTCGCTTTTCTAGCGCCGCACTGGCTCCATTTCCACCGCTCGTGTTCCATTGTCCGGCGGGCGTGGGTTTTGTTGTTGCTGTTGTCGCGCGGATGAATGGAACGCATACGCCGCACTGGTCCAGCTGCTTCTCCAGGGTGTCGGTGTCCCCGAGGGCCGGGCGCTCCTCTCGCAAAAACACGTCCACTTCATCCATCCACTTGCGAAGGGCCTGGCACTCCGCCTGAGCACGGCACACACGCACCCCCCCCCACACCCCCCCGGGGCCCTCCGTGAGTCAAGGACCCAGCCCTCCTCCCCGCCACTCCCGCCGCCCCGCTGGCAAGACTTGACTGGTAGACGCGGCTAAGAGAAGCTGATGCACGCTTCTTCAACTTAGACGTCGACAACGACAGGGAGGCACGAAGATCGTGTGAGAATAAAAATAATAGGAGTGTGCGATTACGTCTCTAGATCGCGAGAGATCGCGGTGACTCGGGGAGGCATTCATCCGTTCACATGCCAATTAAATGAATATATAGCGTGGCCCAAAAGCCATGAAAACATAGGGCCATTTAATTTATTTTAACACTGGCATCAAAAATTTTAATAGTGTTTTTTTAATTTAAGTTAATATTTTATCTATTATCATTCTTAATCTTTTTTCTTCCTGTGGGGTCACCTCAACACCGTTGTAAACAAGACTCGACCAAGAACCCAAAATGTATTTGAGACAAAATATACAATTGCTGCTCTGTTCAAAGATTACATCTGCAGTCTTAAAAAATGTCCTGAATTCATTTCAAAAGAGAATTCATGCATGCAATAATAGTAATGGAAGTCAATTAGAAGAGGTGTTCAAATGCGTTAATATAACTCTCTGTGATTTGCTGAAGTAAATGTAATAACCCTATGTGTCCTGACTTATGAGCAACCCCTGTATTTAAATCACAGCGATTGCATTTAGCCAAACTGAGTGAAAAATCACACGTAAGAGTTTTGTTATGCTTTCGTGAGCAGTCGTTGGCAAACAGGCCGAGACCATCAACTCGCCACACTCAAGAACCCAGTTTAAACCTGGGAGACTGTCCCAGTTAAAACCCAGGATTCTCAGCAGTGAGGGCTTCGTGCACTTACCGTGGAGCTGCTCAGCCACCTCGTGGATACACATATATGGGAAAGCTAAACAGTTTTTTCATGGCTCTATTTCAGAAGCGACCTGGCCATGAATCATAGCTCAACGAAGTGGCTTATCACGTGGAAATGTATAGCAGCCAAATACTCTAAATGCATGATGTTGATTCTAAATGTGGAGGGAACTGGAGAATCCAGAGAAAAATTAACACGACCACAGGGAGAACATGCAAACTCCAAATATACAGGTATTAGAGTCTGGATTTAACCCACGACCTCCTGCATCCTAGGCGAGGAAGATAACATCTCGGCACTGCGGTGCCCCATATATAGATTTCCACACTTTCATAGGTTTCTCTGCTCATGCTGTATAACTATATTGTCGGGTTGTACCCTAACAACAACAGGCTGTACAACCTGAAAAACACGTCAAAGAGCCACATATATAGTCACAGAAATATTCATCACAGTTCAAGATAGTACTAGATCTTATTTTATATAGATAACCCTCCTGTAAGATGATAGCGGTCGAAATAAAGAGTCGGGTTATTAAAAGTGGTCGCGTAGTTATGGTGACCGTTAGGAGAAGAGGCGCGAGTGGTACAGGAGGGTTTTGGGTAGGCCTGGTCACAGCCCATCCGTGTGTCTCTCACCTTGAACTTCCCAAGTTTGGCAGAGAGGTCCTCCGCTCGCTGCATCCTCTCCGGGAGCTGCGTGGACAGCTTGCTCCACCGCTCCACGATCGGCTCCAGCTCGGCGCGGTGCTTGCGAGCGGCGTCCGGGCGAGATCGCCGGCTCAACTCCTCGGCCATGACCCTCGCTGAATCCAAGGAGCTCTGTCTCTCGCGCTGGGCGGCTGACAGCCCCTGCGAGCGAGCAAATGCCACCATTCAAGATTCCCTTCCAAAACTAAACTTTTTTTTATCAGATAAGGGCCACACTGAGCTTCATAGTTATTTTCCCCGAAGCGACCTGGCCGTCACAAATGGAAGCTCATCGAAGTGGCTTATCGAGGGGAAATTAATATCTGCCAAATAATCTCAATGCGTGTTGATTCTAAATGTGGAGGGGAAAATTGGAGGACCCAGAGAAAAATCCACACGACCACGGGGAGAACGTGCAAACTCCAAATATACAGGTAGTTAACATCTCGCCATCACAGTGCCCATTCTCTTCAAAGCCGGGACAATTTGGCCACAAAATAGAAATTGTGAAGTCACGGGCACCTCGTCCCAAGGCAGACCAAGAAGGCGATGGGCCAGGTGATATGAGTGAATGGACAGATGAAAATGAACAATGCAGCAGAGACTGGCCAAAGGGCAGTTGGAAGTGGAGGGAGGTGACTTTGTAGAAGTTTGAGCGGACGCACCTTTAGCTCTTTCAGGCGTTTGTCCATGACTTCCAAGTCGCCCAGTGACGCGGGGATCTGCCCGAGGCGAGTGCCCGCATCCTGCAGGAAGGCCTTGAGCGCTGCGAGCGTCTCAGCGTACTGCGGTGGAGGGAGGCTGTCCAGGGCTGCACCAACAACGCGCAGAGGCGCCAGAGCAAATGTCATCATCGTGAGTGTGGCGAATCAACATCCTGTGGGATTGCCAGCTCTAATTAATGTCATTCATCTAGTGACTGACGACTGCATTACGCTACCCTCGATTGCAGAGCAATGTTGATTCAAGTTTCAATGAGGCCATGGCTGGAAGTGGAAATTTCAAAATTAAATAACCTCTTTTTGGCACCACTCTTCATAAGCGCTAATGAGCAATGTGCCTACCCCCCTGATGTGACATCATCCTATCCATACTCATCCCCACGAGCAGAATGTGATCCTTCCACAACTGGCGAAATGTTGGAGTAAAAAAACTTTTAATTTCCAAACAAACTGCGAGAAACGTCCTGGGGGGTTCCCACCCACCCCAAAGAAACCCGCACTTCGACGCAGCTGCTAAACACAACCGGACAAATGTCCGTACGTTACATGTACGTTCGTGGCATGTACGTATGTTGTGTGTATTCTGAACGTTTGTCGCAGCGCACGTAGCCAACCTTGACAATCGGAGGTGTGGGGGAAGGACAAAAAGCTAAACATGGTCGAGCACAGGGTCCGCTCAATTATTTCGATGGGGCAATAGCCGAAGGTCGTCACTCAGGATTACTTGAAGCCACAGGATATCGTGGCTAAAACGAAGTGTAGATTTAGATGTGTTGATATTCAAACACAGCCACACGCAAGAATGATAAATGCTGTAAACAGGAGATGAGCATCTTCCCAACAGCCTTTTGAGTTTGACACCGCTGCAATCCTCTCCATCACTACGACACGCCAGCCACACACCCTGCCGATTCACCCGACTCGCCAAATGCCATCTCACCTATCTACGTGAACTCTTTTGCCAGGATATGACTGCTCAACCTGAACTATTACTACCTTGATACTTGCATTGCCTTTGTGCTCTTCACCTTTTGGCGTTCTCTGGTCTAACAACGGTGGTGAGTTTCGATTTAAAGCTTTCGTGACTGCAAGGATTCATCTTCTTTGGTTCTTTCGGTAAGGTCACGTAGAATGAGAAAAAAATAATAAAATAACACAATAAAATTCTCACGACGTTTCGGCCACAACGCAAGCGGCCGTCTTCAGGTGAAAGGTACAGAACTGTTGGGACGACAGAGGCTGCTTGCGTTGTGGCTGAAACGTCGTGAGAATTTTATTGTGTTATTTTATTATTTTATTCTCATTCTACGTGACCTTACCGAAAGAACCAAAGAAAACGGTGGTGAGACTAGGCGATAAAGAAGGCTGCTGTCTCTCGTGTAGGCCAATCGGTTTCAAAGACAATGCGTAGATTATCAGAGCATGTTTGCTTTGCACGTTTTGCCACAAGCATGTCTGGCCAGTGCAGACGTGATGCCTTGCGATAAGTATCCATTTGGTGTATGAACGTCTTAACGCCTGTTCTTATTTTTTGCCCTCTCACCTGTCTGCAGCTGTCCCTTCTTCGCCTCCAGCTCAGACATGACCTGCGCGTAGCGCTTGTTGAGCTGCACGAACTCCGCGTCCAGGAAAGCGAGGGCCCCGTCGCGGAGCTTCAGGGAGCTGGCCTGCACGCCGAGCCTCTCCACCTCGCCCTTCATGCCTCGCACTTTCTCCAGCTCCGACTGCCACAGCGAGACAACCATGTGGATGAGACAGCACGCCAACGCCTGCAACCCATCCTCGCCGCAGCCCACAAGAGTGCGGGTCCCCAACCGATCTGGACACGCGGCCAATTATCAGCCATCAAAAATGTTTTTCGCAGGCCACCTTGGATGAAAACTATATGTATATTATTAAGTTAAATTGCTCGTTCATAACCAACGCCAATGACCAGGTCAACCAGCCAGTAGGCAGCTGTACTGATTAATCCTGAATACAATATCAATAATTGATTTGCTTTGGGGAGAAAAAAAAGCAAGGTATATGAAGGGGTTCCATAGACCACTGCCCAAGGTGTTGTGGTCCACCAGTAGTCTGAGAAAGACACATTAGGAATCACTGGCTGTACGGCCGATTCACACAGCTAAACGTCGTTGACAAGGAGAGGTCAGGGGAATATGCATCCAATCCATAAAAATAAATATTATCTTGCTGATCCTCTCAGCCACAAGTACATTTTCTTTAACGTATTGATTCCTCTCGAGAGATCACTGACACAGAATGCCTCTGACAGCTGTGTAGCACCAGAAAGGTTTTTGGCCACGGTGGCAAGATGTTAACTACCTTGCCTGGTATACAGGAAGTCGTGGGTTTGTATATTGGGAGTTTGCATGTTCTCCCTGTGGTCGTGTGGATCTGTCCAGGTCCTCCGGTTTTTCCCTCCACATTTAGAATCAACATTCATTTAGAGCAGGGGTCGGAAACCTTTTTGGCTGAGAGAGCCATGAAAGCCACATATTTTAAAATAAATTTCCGTGAGAGCCATATAATATGTTTTAACACTGAATACAACTAAAAACATGTCAGCTAAGATTTATTTGCGAGCCAGATGCAGTCATCAAAAGAGCCACATCTGGCTTGTGAGCCATAGGTTGCCGACCCCTGATTTAGAGTATTTGGCTGCTATTCATTTCCACGTGATTTGCCACTGCGTTGGGCTATCATTGTGGCCAGATCGCTTCTGAAAAAGAGCTACGCAGCTCAGTAGGGGCCTTACCTGGTAAAATAAAAAATAGTTTATAGTTTAATAGTTTAAATGTGGTAAACATTAAATCTACGCGTTTGTCAGCGAGCGGACGAAGGCGCTACCACCCGGCCACGCCCGCGGCGCCCCCGCCATGCCACCTGCAGCTCGCCGATCCGGTGCCGCAGGTGTGCCGCGTCGCCGGTGTCGCCCGGGCCCTGCTGCAGCAGCGCCTCGGCCCCGGCGAGGCCCCGCTCGGCGGTGCGCGCGTCGCGCTCGAAATCCAGCACCAGGCCTTGGTAGACTAGCCAGGCCTTGCGGTCGCCTAGCAACCGCAGGAGCGCTTCCCAGCGGGTAGATAGCTCGTTGAGCACCCTCTGAACCTCCTCCGTGGGGACACCGTCTGGAGATGGGAGTTGAGCGTGAGCGTGTCCGATCGTTCGGAAACGTAAAAACTATTTTGGGGGTGGGTGGGGGGGGGGGTCGGCACGATCTGGAAATAGCGGATGCTGCTACAAACATAATCCAGAGGTCGCCGGTTCCATTCCCTCTTCTGGAGCGGCAATTGAAACAACGGGAAAGTTTCTTAAATCTCTCCCCCCCCTCCCCCCACCAGCAGTGTAAATGGGTACACCCTTTTACGCTGCTGGGTACACCGCCCACAGTTCCGACTGTGGGGCATGCAACTCAAACGACGGACTACTTAGTAAACCACGACACAGACTCTCTCCTGGAGGCCTCCCGTGGCTAGCAGACCTTGACATTGGCATCGAGCTCTTGAACAAATTGTTATCGTGGGCAATAGGATGGCTACACCCCTGCACGTTGATCCAGCAGCTCGCGTGTGGCGGTGTCGGGTGTGGGTACTCCCAACTCATCTCAGATTCCCGGCCAATATGGACCAGTAGGCCACAGTATCCCCTGAGAAGGGCCCTCTCGAGGGCTCCCTCTCGGGGAAATTATTCTGCCTGCAGCGGTATGAGCAATTAATTGTGGAGCTGCACCTTTTACTTTCGAATAAACAGCACCAGATATGGTTTAATGATTATAATCATGTGGCCACCTGTCATATAGATTAAATTGGCTGGCGCTGGGGCAAAGATGTTGACTTAACCATCACAAGTTAAACATCCTGGGTCAGGAAATGCCTAAACGCAATCATTCAAATGAGCCTATCATTTGCATATGCGTTAAAATTACCGATTTTTTTACACTGCCAATTTTTAATACACCTGTCACGAGCATGATAATCTATTAATGTAAGCATTGTCACATGTCACAGCATTTATTGCAAAATGAAGGGTTAAAGCAATCCCACTGTGCGATTGAAATCTTGGGTGTTTTTTTATTACGGAAAACGCAACATGCTCATTGTAATGTTAAGAATATCGGCTCATGTACAATACAGTGGAAAATGAATTGTGCAACAAAAGGTAGTGTGTGTGTGTGTTTGTTTCTATGGGGGGCGGAAGAGTAGCGGTTAGCGTGCTGCACTACGAGCCCGGCGACCCAAGTTCGATCCCTGCTCACAGCCAACACCAATGACGATTATCTGAACCGGCCCTGGGCCTCCCCTAGGCTGACTCAAATGAGCACCTGGGTGCGGTGTGTAATTATCGCCACTGGGAAGACAAAAGGAGGCCGGGCTTGGGGCTGGCCACCCGCCCCCTCGTGTGCCGTGCCGGCCTTCACAGGCACTGTTTGCTAACAGCGCTTGCCCCAACCGTTTGTGAAGGCTGTACGAGGGATTTGTTTTTTTGTTTCTCTCAGGATGAATCGAGAGTGAGCAGGATAGTGGGGCCATGTTTTTATTATTCAGCTGTCACAGAGGCTTATTCACAAACCGTAGCACTGGAGCCAACCCACGAGGTGGAGGAATCCCGTAACGTACACAAGTCAACCGATTTCTCACGGATATGATAGAAATTTTAAAATTTTATCAGAACCCATCACACAAGACTGGAAACTTCTAGGTTTTTTTATTTACTGGGTTCCAAACTTTAACAGAAAACCAAACTTTTCTCTTCAACACAGCAAGTCTATATTTTCAGGATTGTCAGAGCCAAGTGGTTTTCACCTGGCAGAAATGTCTACGAGTGCACACAGGATGCTACGGTTTCACCGCTAAAACAATAAAAAAATAGCGTTAATTTCGTCGTGTAAAAATGTAATTATTTAATATTTTTGCCGATCACACGCCGCGAAATAATATTAAAAGCGTTCTTTCGCAACAAAGGTTGCGACGATGCGAAGTTATAAACTAACGAGGGCAATTCCGTGGGCGGCCTAACATCGGCCTCTGCTTGCCAACACGAGCTGTTAAAATAAACACGGCGAGCATCGTCACACGCGTGACATGGCAGGAGTCTGACCCAGGAGCGGGGGGAGCAAGCCAAGTCTCCAGGGTGTGCACGGTGATGGCAGCAGTGGCCCAATTAGGGTGGGGGGCGAACGCACCTTGTGACATCTGATCGGCCAGCGTCTGCGCGGTGTTCGGGATATCGTGGAGCTTCTTCTGTCTCTCTGCCTTCTCCCTCTCCACTCCCTGACACGGAGTGGCCAGACGTCAGCAAAGACATCATTCAAGGAGAGGGACGGTACTTATTAGAAAGCAGTACAAAAGGTTGCATTTTAAAAAGCCAGATTTCTTGACATAAACAGATTTCAATGCCTTTATTAAACAATAGTTGTAGATTTGAAGCTTTCGTGACTGCAAGGATCCATACTCTTTGGTTCTATTCGGTAAAGTCACGTAGGTAAAAAATAAAACAAAAACAATAGTTATTGCTGCTAACAGAAATCACTACTGCTTGAAAGTCTGTTTTAAAAGGCCTTTTGTTCGTCTTGATTTGAAGCTTTCGTGACTGCAGGAATCCATACTCTTTGGTTATTTCGGTAAAGTCACGTAGCTAGAAATAAAACAAAATAAATCACGACGTTTTGGATGCTCGCAGCAGACATCGCGGCTATCGCGATTTTCACCTGAAGACTGGCGCTTGTGTTGCGTTCGAAACGTCGTGATTTACTTTGTTTTATTTCTACCTACGTGACTTTACCGAAAGAACCAAAGAGCATGCCTTTTGTTAATTTCAAGGTAATATATTTTTTTCCAGCAAAACAAGGGAATTATGTTCCAGGTACCGTCAAAGGCATTCGCAAAGTCTGCGATAAGAAAGACAAGTGCTCAAATAATTCTGCGTTCAGAATTATTTAGGAACAACACGATATGTACGCAAATTGCATCTTTTTATTTTGCTCCTTTTCTTGCGAATATTCAGCACCTGTTCTTGGAAGATACCATACACACAAGGGCACAATGTCAGACGAACAGTGCAAAAATGAATGTGTATGAAGTTGGAATCAAAGTGCCCTGGGCATAGACATTAATTTTGATAATTGCACCTCAGATGGAAAACTGCAAGAACGCAAGCGTCTAATTACGTTAACTTTCTCCTGGAGGTCCGAGACGTCGCCAGACTTCTTGAAGGTGGAGAACTCGGGGGAGTTGAGTGTGGTCTCCGCTCTGCTGATCCAGCTGTTGAGCTCCTGCACCTCGGTGTCAAATCTGCTTGCACGCGCGCACAGACACAAGGAGGCGATTGCTCATTAGGCGCTCGACGCAAGCCTTCTTACTGAACGCCTGTTATGGAAGGCACGTGGAACGGCAGGGGAGGCAGGACCATCATCAGCGCACACGGCCGCGTTTGTATCTGCAGCCCCACCAGATGCTTATTTTAAGGCTAAGCTGACCTGTGGGAGGCCAACAGATGATACGCGCACCGTATTCCACAGAAGACGGTGTTGCTAAAGCGAACGCAGCGTGCTAACCACCACACCGCTGCTCCCTAGTGCGCACACGCATGCACAAAGACGCAAGCGAGCGCATGCGATCGCGTATCAAGGGACGCGGAAAACACACAAGGTGGCACCGCGGTTATTTGCACGGAGCGCAATTATAGGTCAAGAACGAGTCCCACTTGGGTGAGTAATTAGACCAATTAGCGCAGCGAGTGTGCCCACGCAGCAAACGCGCGTGAAAACACTCCAGTTATTTTTTTTTGCAGTGGGAAAACAAGAGGCTAAGCAGGCAGATGCATTCGCACGCATTCAGTGATAATTTCGTGACCATTTTTGTCGTGCCATTTATCTAATTCTCCAGAAAGCAAACACGGGGAATATTCGCCAACACATTCTTTCTACACCTGCGTATAACGAAGCACGGCAAGGTGCGCAATCCGATTTGCACCGACACGCAAGCAAAGGAATCATCGGCCGTTCGCAAAAGTCAGCGGGCTTCGTTTGGGCAGCGCACATCGCCAGAAGGGATGACGGACGAGACTAGCAATGGAATAGCCGCCAAAGGAGAGAAACGTGTGCGAGTGGTGATTACCGTGGTAGATGAAGGGACGACACTAAGCTATGTTTTATTTTAAACGATGTATTTACTTATACCAGGTAAAGCCCACTGAGCTAAATTGCTCTTTTTCAGAAGCGGCTTGGCCGCAAATAATAGCTCAGCAAAGTGGCTTATCGTCGCGTGAAAATTTATAGCAGCCAAATACTCTTAACACGCGCGTTGATTCTAAATGGGGAGGGAAAAACCAGAAGACCCTGAGAAAAATCCACGCGAGCACGGGAACAGCATGCAAACTCCAAATACAGGTGTTCGGGTCGGGATCGAACCCATGACCTCCTGCATACCAGGCGAAGGAAAAAAAACATCTCATAGCCACCGTAGCGACCAATCAAATATTGATTTAAGCACACGAGTAAAATGGATTGTAGCAATCCTGAAAAAATTATGATACATTTGGAGGCCTTCATCCAGCAGTGGATAAACCATGGTCGATTACAATAAAGCGAAGTGTATTGTTTGCTGCACACATGGCTTCCGACGACAAATGATCTCGCTCAACGGCCTCCAGGCATCCCGTGTTTGCGCTAAGGCAGGCAGGCAGGTGTAATCCCCGCTTAGTTCCCGAATTTAAATGAGATCAAGGGCGCCGAGGTCGATATGCGCTTAAGCGCCACGTTACACCGGTTCCCGGACGCTAAAATTTACCGACGCGTAACAGGAGTGACGCAAACGCAACGTGCTATTGTGATGCTTCCACCACAGCCTCCGTACTTCATCGCTCAGGGCAGTGCGACCGGCGATCACAATTGCGATGATGTGGCCAATATACAGGCACAGCACCAACATACAGGCACAACGCCAATATACAGGCACAGACCGAATTTACTGTACGCACGCACAACACCAGAGGGCAGACGCCGCTTCCAGTTGTGATTTTGATCAAGATTCAGATTTTTTTATTTTTTCACAATTCGCTTTTCCAGAATAATTCATAGCTTTAGGCCAAATGGATTTGTATTATTTGATTGTACAATATATGCTTTGTCCGTGGAATTACACCGGAATTTTTGTTCTCATTCGAAAATGCAACTTGAGAATGTATTTGAATGTCGAGTACGATATGAAAATCATATTATTGCCATTATCATGGGACCTCCTTTGCCAGTACCAAAATATGAGAATAGGTTTTCCCCTTTTTTTCTGGCAACAAAACAGGTTAAATTTTGATTTAAAGCTTTCGTGACTGCAGGAATTGATATTCTTGGTTCGACTGCTTGTGTGGCAGTCGAAACGTCGTGATAATTTTATTGTTTTATATTTTTATTATTTTATTGTTTCCCTTCTACGTGACTTTACCGAAAGAACCAAGAATAACAAAACAGGTGTTAAGATATAAAAAAAAACACCAAACTGAAACCTTTTACAAAGAATCATGTCTGCATTAACCACAATACTTGTAGTCAGAATGCAAACAAAAAAGTACTCTGATAACATATGCATTGTGTTTCAACATCTTAACACCTGTTTTGTTGCTAGATAAAAGGGGAATACCTATTCTCATATTATTACCAATCTTCTGCATTCATAGAACTGACTTAGTGGCTTACGGTGCCGATGCAATTTAATATGTGCTGAGCAAGCACTGGGCTCCAATTCATGTGGTCAACCGTGATTACAATGGATTCTGAAGCACTGATGAGCTTTATCGTCTCAGCCAAGTCAGAAATGACTGAAAAGTAACCATCGGTTTAAATTATATATTTTTTGCCATTTCTTAATCCAGCAAATTCCACATCCAAGGAAACATTATTTGCAAGACGTAAAAAACGGCACGACATCCAACGTGGATGCAAGGTCTGCAGAAGCGGCTTCAAGTTCTGTAATGTCATCTTTTGGGTGCGGTTCTCTGACGCCAAGGTAATGCTCTGCTCACTGTGAGACCTCCAATGGGAAATGTATTCATTTCATGACATTATGCCAATTGCATTTCAATGGTACTATACTAAGAGCAGAACACCACAGCTAATATAGCATCTATGATAGGGGTGGGCCTGTAATCAGGGTGGGAGCAGTCCCAAATTGGAAAGCTTTTTAAACAGGGCCCTACAGGGTTTAAACAGGGCCCGACAGGGTTGCAAAATTCTGACCCACTCCAACTGGACATCTGCGAAAAAAATAGCTTCATAGCTCATCGGATTTCTCCAATATAAACAAATATTCTGATTCGGATAAATAGGGCCCTAACAGAGCTTCAAAAGGGGGACTCTCTATTGCCGCAACGCCCTCCCCACCTTGGATCCAACGCTAATCCACGACGCCTTCAAGAGCGCCGTTTGCTGCTGGCATCTTGGTGTTACGGTCTTTCAAAACGGACCGTAGAAAGCGCATGACGACGCAACGCACCGCTCCACAGACGCGAGGCACACATCGCGGCGATACACCACTCCGCTGCTCCTGTCGACAGGGTTATCTGGCACGACCACCTAAATGTGACGTTGCGGTTGTTGCTCTGCGTCTACTGCATGAGCCGTACGAAAGAAGAAGGAGCAGCTTGACATTTTGGGTCTTTGGGACGTGGTGGGAATAAAAAAAAAAACACAGCACCCAGCGCCCACCTCTTGTGCAGCTCGGGGTCGAGGAAGGGCTTCTTGGTGGGCGGGGCGAGCACGTGCTCCTCCCGCCCGTGCTTCACCAGCACCTGCTCGCGACTGCTGCTGCTGCTGCTGCTGATCACCGTCACCGTCTCCAGTACCGTCAACTGGGTGACCGACGACTGGGTCTGGCTCACTGTGTGCGACACCTGAGGGCGCGTGGGCATGGTCACGTGATCAGTGCAAGCGGTTGGGGGGGGGGGGAGAAGAAACAAAACACTTGGGTGCTGCTTACTGTTCACAAAAAAAGCTATTGCAATATATGGGCAGGCCCCTATTCTGCTTCTCCATGTATATAATAATAATCTCTATTTTATACAGCACCTTTCGTATTGAAGTATCTGCAAGCGCAGTACGTAAAAATAAAACTACACTCATGAGAACAGATAAAGTCTAAGTGAAATAGAGCGCTAATAATAACAATATCAATGACTCCACTCGAAATTCCATGAAAATGAAGAACTATGATAAAAAGCGAATGATAATTTCAAAGTGATCCAATCGGACAACAGAATCGGTTTTCAAATCATAAGTTATGGGGAAAGCCTAGTACATATATATATAAATGTGTGACCCTTATACACCGTCCCGGTCTTAATAGGCGCTCGCGAGCAGTGCTTGCCCTTTCATTTCTTTAGAACTGCTTCTCGTGTCTGTTTTTTTCTCCTTCCCCCGCACCTACAATTAGCACGGTTGTGTACGTATGGTGCGAAGGAAGTTTAACACACATATATACATACAGGGACTCCTCTACTCACGAACGTTCGACTTACGAGCTTTCAGAGATACGAACAAACCTGTCCGTATGTACAAGTGCCTGTTCGGACCGAGAGTCGTAAGTGCAACTACCACGCAATAGATGGCGGTGGTTGTTCGGTGTCATTACCCAGCATTCCCAGCATTTCTGCCAGAGCCACCGTCATTGTTTGTTGCTGTGTTGTCGCTGTGCGGTTCACTACGACGTTATCTGTGCTTTTCACGCATCTACATCTGCAGAACATGAAGAACCAGTGGCATCTACATCTACAGGAGATTATACAAGCCATTCCCCGTGTTTAGTGTACATGCCGTACAGCATGTTTGGAATCGACAGGAGTAAAGTTGGACTTATGAACAAATCGACTTACGAACAGACCTCTGGAAACAGACTCGTTCGTAAATAGATGAGTCCCTATAGTTAGTAGTCTGCATGGCTATAAAGGGGGGAGGGATCTTTGTCCTTGTTGACTTTACCAGCTTGGAGTGTCCCTCCAGCTTCTGAACCAGGTTGTCCCAGCGCTGCGCAAACTCGTCCAGTTTCTTCTCAATGTCCCTGGCGGTTGTCTCGTTGCCCATGGCCGTGACCAGCGCCTGGCCTAGTATGCTCAGCTTGCTCAGCGCCGGCCGCTTCATGCTCATGTCCTCCTTCAAGATCTAGAACAGGACAGATGGAAAACAAAGATGTCGAGAGAACTACACGGTAGCCCAATAGTCAGGACACGAGTGTTTAGTTTGTTGTCCTTCCCCCGCACCTACGATTATCACGGTTGGCTACGTACGGTGGAAAAGAAGTTCAACATGCACACGTATACACACGCAGGGTTATCAGGACCTAGAAGAAGAGAGTGGAGAAATAAATAGATATCAAATAAACTGGACATCTGTGAAAAAGAGCTACATAGCTCATCGGATTCCTCCAGTCTAAAGAAAGATTCTGAAATATACACAGGGTGACCCAATATATACACAGGGTGGCCTAAAAGTCAGGACACAGAGGGTTATTTTATTTATTTTAAACACTGGCATTAAAATATTTTAATTGTTTTGTTATTTAAGTTAATATTTTTACTATTATCAAAATAATAAAACATTTTACTTCTTCCGTTTCACATGACATTTAAAGATGGAAAGAAAACTGATAAAAACAAACAAATAAAATTAGTTTGTACATACACTAACGAAGATAGCTGCAATGTAACATCGTGGCACCCATAATTAAAAGCGGGTTCTTCAATAACAACAACCTTGACGGTTTTGGCACAGTTGCCAATTACTTCACGTAAAATAGTGCCTCGTTACATTTGGGCTTTTCGCTTAACTCAAAAACATCCAAACCCGAGAATCAAAAGTTCTGGCTTTACTGCAACGCGAAGAACATTTATCGACATTGTCATTCATACTCAGAAGAAGCACATGCACGTGATCGGTTTACTCGACAGGTCACAGCTACAACAGCGTCATTGCATTTATGCAATTGCAAATATTGCTGCAAATGTTTTACTCTTACGGCGAGTTTTCGGACATTCGCAACCATCTCAGCCTGGTCCTTGAAGTTCCCAGTCTGAACTTTGCTGAGGGCATCCTCCTTCTCAGTCAGCCAGGCATCGAACAGCACCTAGAGACAAAAATGAACAAAACGTGGGCACAACACGTGAAGAGAAGAAATTGAACGTGCGGAAAACACCGACAGAAAGACAGCTCAGGCACACAGACATATACACGCACTGCTAAACAAACGGAGGTCCCCCTTAGAGTCTTTATAGACCATTGGGGCAAGTGCCGCTATCTATCACGGCCGTCATGGCACACGAGGGAGTGGTGTGGCCAGCGGCAGGCCCAGTCTGTCTTTGTATCCCCAATGTTGGTGCTTACACACTGCACGTTTAAGCCCGAGTCGCCCGAGAAAAGGGTCCAGGGATAGTTCGAATGCGAATCGCCACGAACGTCAGCCGCCACCGCTGGTGACCAAACTCAGAACGGCGGGCTTCGTGGCGGATTGTGCTAACCACCCGCGCCACCGCTCGCCACTGACTCCTCACATGACAGACACACATGTGAATACGTACGGACCAAAACGTAACATACAACCCTCATGTGTTTTATGCAAAAAAATGCGTGACCTAAAATAACACTGAGCAACAACTGATGGAATTTTTCCACATTTTCAATCAATCAGCGAATCATTTTTTTTAGGATAAAAAAATGTTAAAGTTAAGTGCGACTTGGCAGGATGTTTAGCAAAGATCTTGAATAAATGTCAAGTGGACAGTTTGCAAACAAGGCATAGACAGTCAAGAGACAAACTGGCCAGCTGATCACACGAGAAATGTCAGGAAAGAAAACGAAATGTGTACGTTACAGCACCCCTGGTTGTCGCTCTGAGATAACTGTGACATTAAGTGTGTGTCGCAGTAACACACAGCAGTGGCCCGCGGACAATGTTTCCTTGATTAAATCAACGTTCAAGGTATTACAAGAGCCTGCAAAGCAAGCCTCTGAACCCTTTATAGTCTCTACTTAATAATAAAAGCAACGGAAAATTTTTAAAAAGTTGGAAAAACATAAACTTCCATTATATATTTGGTGACGCATCACCAGGCAGAGTTAAAGCCAACCAACTCTAACCAAAAGGTTTGGTTGAGCAGGCAGCTGACTTTTGGATGTGTGATGTTAGAAGGAGCACACTCCATTTGTATAACGGCCACTATTGCCGTGCCTGGGAGTGTATGTCTTTTATTTAGTCTGACGAGAAGAAGAAGAAGAGGAATGGAACAAAAAAAACGGTGGAAAATGTCAAGAGTAAGGAAAAGTCGACAGTGCGCGCCTCCGGATTACGCAATGTCCTCGCTCATTTCCACAGATCGTCTTGTCATTTGCCCTTGTAAAAGTTTTCCCCCGGAAGATAATGCACCTTAGGCGCGCTCGAGTCTATCCAAGGTTGTGCTAAAGTCACCGTGAGGCCCGGGCAGCAATGGGCTTCATTGTTAATGGCAAAGAGGAAACACGACTGGAACAAAAACACGACGATGTTTTTTGGCCATTGGGGATCGTCGAATTTGCCAGTGAAAGTGCTCGGGACTGTCAAACTAACCGTACCATCTCCCATAGGTGCAAACGACGCGGTGGTGAATCAGCAATAAATAGGTCAAGTAATGTGACGTTTGTGCACTGGAGAGAACAACATGAAAAGCAGTAATGTACCAGCAAGCCTCTTTGAACTATACCATCCTGCGCCATCACTGGTGTCAATGCATGGGTGAGAAAAATGTAAAAAAAAATATTTAACATACAAACTTTTCACCTCCAACTTCCATTCAAGTTCTCGAAAACACATTTCATGGACTATATATATTCGGTTTTTTTAATTCGGTGACATGCGTGCAAGCTCACAGACAGCATGTGCAAGGGAGAGCAGTGAAATTGTTACGATCTTGGACTCTGACTAATTTCCCCACTCCCAAACACGTGGGAGAGGACGGTGTGAAAAGCTGTGGTGTCATTCAGAAATATTGCAAGGCCATACATCAGCAGAGTGGGGGGCGGTGGGGAAGGGGGGAGATTTCAAAATTGAATTGTAAATTTTGGAACTACCACTCTGCACTATATTCAGTGGAGGGACGTTGTGGTTGAGGAACTCACCAGAAAGGATGACGCTTTTATGCCTAGCAATGTATATCATGCACATATAGGTCCATGCGTAAAAATCCCGTCACGTCTGCAACGCTGCTTGAGAGACGCTCGGAAGCACTGATGCGCCCCGCTAACTTGGCAGTGACGTGAATTAAATCTGACGCTTGATCTATGCCGGGACTCAAAGTGATGCTACGGGTGCCGGCGGGTTACCTGGTTGAGTTGCCAGCAACTCAAGACGTACATCAGTGGTTTGCCAAAGTTAAAATAAAGTTAAAATAACTTTGGCTAACTTTCTCAGCTCGCTGTGGCATTTTCATTAACTCGGCGAGCGATGAGCCGAGAGTACCTTCTGAGTGTTCTAACTTTGGTGAAGGTGAGTATTTTGGTAATGGTCCCTCTCTCTTTCTCCGCTGTTCGACTCGTTACCGTGTATGCACGACCTTGCTGATGTTTGGACATGTCCATAACTTTTGTACACTGGTCCACTCCGTAATTTTGTATATATTATCAGATCATCATAGTCTCCGCTTACATGCGTTTATTTTAATTCCCCTTGTTGGAACATCAACTGGCATGTTTTCCCCATCACCTATAACGACCTGTCCAAACTACTTCAGTTCCCGCCTTCAAACTATGGTGTACAGTCTCGCTTTGTCACCAATCTCTTCGGTTCTTCTTGTGCTGTCCACAGGATAGGTACTAGCCTTGTCTTGCACCATCGTTCAAAATCTACGGTCTTCCTCCTCGTCTGCTGCATCGCTCGCCCAAGTTTCTCATGCGCACGTCACAATCGGTTAAAAAAAAACAAAAAAACCATTGCCTCCAAGGCTAGCGTGAATTCCGCGGGCCTACCAACACCTTTGTCTTTCCGTAGCTCCTCTCGTCACGGACAACGCTGCAACGCATCGCTCGCCCAACACGCGGTGAGGGCTCGAAAGTCCACAAGGAACGCGCAGGGGGCAGGTGAGCAGGCTGACGACGGGGAGGGAGCAGCCGCGCCTCCCCCCCACGCTGCTCCTTCGTACCTGCTCCTCGGTGAACTGCTGCCACCGCACGAGACTCTCCTGCAGGAGGCGCCAGCGATCTTCTGTCCAGCGGCACACGGCCGCCCAGCGCTCCCCCAGGGACTGCCCCGGGGACAGGAGAGCAACGCGCACGCACGCACACAAAGACAAAGAACCCCCATACAGCTTTAACGGACTGTCGGGGCAAGTGCTGTTAGCGAGCGCCTATGAAGTCCGGCACGGCACACGAGGGGGTGGGTGGCCAAGACCGCGCCCGGCCGCCTTTGTCTCGCCAGTGGCGATGTTTACACATCGCACCGGGTACTCATTTAAGGCTGAGTCGCCCTAGGGGAGGCCCAAGACCGGTTCAGATAATCGTCACCGGCGTTGGCCGTGAGCAGGAATCGAACTCGGGTGGCTACACTACCGCTCCTCACACATGCACACAAAAGACAAAGATCCCCCGTATAGCCTGAACAGATTTTTGGGGCAAGTGCCGCAAGCGAGCACCTATGAAGGCCGGCATGGCACATGAGGGGGTGGGTGGCCAACACCACGCCCGGCCGCCTTTGTCTCCTCAGTGATGATGTTTACACACCACACGAGGTACTCATTTAAGGCTGAGCCGACCTAGGGGAGGCCCATGACCAGTTAAGATAATCGTCTCTTGGTGTTGGCCGTGAGCGGGAATCGGGCCGCCGAGTTCATAGCGCAGTGCGCCAACCGGTACACTACTGCTCCCCACATGCAGACACACACACGCACGCAAACGCACCCACGTGCACACGCTAGAGACAAATTCATACGACGTGGTGAGCAGTCAACCGTTTGATCAATAATTCACTCAAGGAATTGATAAATACAAAATGTCATTGAACCATCACACCAATATGAAAGTGATTTCCTGCGTAAATAAACATTGAGGCAGTGCTCATCTTCTGTTTATATCCATGAGCCAGTGGTGAAATTTCCACATTCCTATGCCGGGGGCGATTGTAACCACAGGACAAGCACTGGTGACTTCCCCACCAAGTGGAATCCCTTTTCATTGACCCCAGAATGATGATTGGCCGAGTCAACCCCCAACTAGGATTTGAACTCGCAACCTTCCGAATGCAAGCCGCTCATCGTACGTCTAACGCCACCCGGTCGGACAATATTTAAGCAGACACAAGAATCACAATGACCCGAATTATTCATTAGCTATTGTGAGGCCAGTAGAGGAGCCTTTGGGGAGTCTGGGCTGCGAAAAGCCAGAAATCTGAGGCTTTGTGTCTAAATGGGACAGAGTGGCAGACGAATTAGCCAGACATGGACAGGGCCAGCCAGACTGCGAACAACAGAGTCTGGGCTGCGAGCCACAGAGTGGCCCTTGGTGGTGGAGATACGGGGGAGCTGGTTGGAGAGAGGAGGGAGGCGGGCGCTGAATGTTGGGGCACCTGCAGTTGGGCCTCGAGGGCAGCTGTTGCGTTCTCTCCCGAGTTCTCGTCCACCACCACCACCATGTGCGTGAGAGAGTTCACACGCACCTGCTCCTGCTCCAGGTCCGACTGCAAGGACTGCGGACGCACGTTCGCATCGGTCAGTTCGCTTTGTCGTAAGCAACACCTACAAGCCGTTCAGTGCCGCCGCGATCTTATATATAGACGAGTGTATCTCATTTACTTCTGATTACCCGCAAGCTCGGAAGCTCCCACGGTAAGTGGAGCGAAATGTCACGACGTGGTTCCCAACAACACGTGGTACAACCGGAAAAACACAGCCAGAGAGCTACACAGAGAGCTAAGGCTAAGTTACAAAGTTTGTTGCACACATTGGTTCGGTGGTCAGCATTGTCTTGCACATTTAAATCACAAGACACACAACTGGAAAGCCACCGACTAACAAACTGATGCGCTTGACTTGCTATTGGCGCAGTAACAATAGATCAAGCATCCAACCATAATTGTGAGGTTTTCCACTGCAAGACGTGCAACCTCACGTGGAAAAAGAAACCTCAGCCAAATATTTGCACGTTAAATCATCCCCTGCAAATCCAAAAGTATCATGGTTTGTGCAACTGCCCCCAAAAATGTAAAAACCTTTTTGACGAAAGAAAGCACTAGAAGCCGAAACATGTGCTTCATCTTCGAGCGAGTCAGGCAACCATGGTATGAGACTCTTTTTGAATGCAAGTGAGCATGGCTTTCTCTTGAGCTCAAGGGTTTATAATTCATAGCTTTGAATTGGAAGGTGCAATCATGGCTCACGCCACTCCATAAAAGTGTACCCTCTTTTCTGCTCAGATGTCATTATTGTTCTCAGTTGCTGGTTGCTTTGCATTACAGGCTGTGGGCCTATGCTCTCAAATAAAAAATAGTTCTGCAGATACAAACACATTTGCCGAAATTGATGTGCTCAGAAAGGTGCTGTTAGCTAGCACCTATTAAGCCCATCATCATACATGAGGTTGTAGTGGTGGAGCCGATGACAGGTACTAATCTTTTACTGAGCTGAGCTAAAGGAGTTGCATCACAATGTCGACACTCCAATTGAGGCTGGTGATTTGCATGGTCACGGATTAAACTTAAACAACCAGGCATTTTGTAGTGCATTTCACAATTCACCACACTCATTTTTTTATCACACTTGCTAAGCACAGGGCTCAATAAGCCAATCGTTCAGCAACAAACAACACTCCGGAAGGTCTAATTAATTAAGAGCTAAGGCATTTCCCGACACGAACAACGGTTACAATAGTTCGGAGAAAAGAGACGACGAGAGGGAAATTCCGAATTCGAGAAGCGACGCGCGCACAAAGAAAAAAAACACGCGCGTTCTTTTCTCTGACAGCCGTGTCGAATGCCAAAAGGTGGTGCTACTCTGGGGACCCGTGAATAGCAGCCAGGAGGCCGGGATGCCCTCGACACGGCCGAGCAGGTCGTGATCACAGCCAGAGGCTCCTTCGCTCCGCTGACGGCGAGATTAACCCTTTGCCGTTCCGAGACGTCTGCAAGGTGCAGGGTGGCCGGCGTCCCCGTTAACCGTCGAATCTCGGAGCGCGCAAGCGGCTCAGAGTTCATTTTATTTTCGAGGGGCATGGTAGCGCCGCTAGTTTTAAAGACGTTGCGCTCAACGCAGAGCGCCGTAATGACACGGCCGCCGCGCTCTACGGCAGTTGACACCGAACTGTGCCACGCGCCCTCCCCGCGTACCGATGCGGTTATTTTAGTTTTTCTTTCGGAAGAGAAACCGATGACGTACACGTACATCTTCGGAATGGGAAAGGGTTAAAGTGTCACAGGAAGGAGGTTGGTGGCGGTGGCGGCGGCGGCGACGCTCACTTTGTGCTCTTCGATCTGCGCCTTCACGGAGTCGAGCTCGGGCCCAATGGGGTGGGTGTCGAGCTTGCGGATCCTCTCCTCCGTGCGACTCAGCCAGTCCGCCAGCTCCGTCAGCTGCCTCTGCTGCAGCGCCATTAACACCTCGTGCAGCCTGGCACGCGGCAACCGCGACACGCACGCACGCGCACGTAACAACACGAGTACGTATAATCAGCGTAGTAAGCAGACACGGTGTAATTAAAACAAGTGGCAATTGTAGATTTTCCACCCTTAAGAAATAATTTCCACCGCTACGGTTGCCTTATGATGGAACAGAAGGGACCCACCCCCCCTTATATATTTTATTTTAAATTACAAGAGACATGCACCACGGACAATTTTTAGCCAGCACGGAGACAAATATGGCCCAGGAATGTGCAACTTGTGCTGGTAACTCAAGTCGATGCTGCATGTTTTGCATGCCAGTTGTGCAGCACACTGAGACTGGAGCTAATTAATTTAGAAGTTCTACTCCTCTCACAGCAAATGATACATTTTGTAATGCGTATATGCATGATTCATATGCCCTTCGCGAAGCACAACCTTATGTGTAGATAAAGTAACGTTTGAAATATTTCAATGCATAGTAATTTACGTTTTTAGATTTTGCAGTTTGCTTCGATGCAACCGAAAGGTGGATTTTAATGCACATTCGTATGCGTGATTAATTCTCAATCTCAGGGTGCTATGGTGCTTTTTATATATTCTGGCCAAGCCTGTGTGTGTGTGTGGATATATATCTTGACATTGTTAGCTTCATTGCTAGATTTCAAGCGTTGCAATTGCAGCCAAGGTCACCGACTTAGAGACAACAGCAGGTTAATAAATGTAGTCACAAGACATGCCAACCCTCAGTGACTTGCTGTAATTTCCACCGCAGCCCCACCAGTCATTAAGTTACAAAAAGATGTGACTGCACTTGTGTTGGTCTCAAACTCACGGTGTTAAAATATAAGGCGATATACACAATATATATGGGGGGGGGGGAGGACATATTAGCCCCTGTATAAAATGAAAAAGAAATGGCTCGAACCTTTTAATATCGCAGTTTCATGTAGGTGTATAAATGAACAGTTTTAATGAGACGCAAATAAAGAGTCGCATCAATTTAAAGCCGTGGCTATTTTCATGATCATGATCGCTAAGTGAGCTGTTCCCCCACGTCCATCGCTAAATAAAGTAGTCGGGGTGAGCCTGCGCACACTTTTAACATCTCGTTTTCAACTTTCTTAAACCGTGTTCAGACTAATGACTAAGTAAGAGGTCCCGTTTGCCATCGTGATAACGTGACCATTTTAATTAGAGGTAATATAGTCCATGACCAAATCAACCGGAATGCACCCAATCTCGTCAAGGTGCAGGAAACTAAGCAAGCGTGAGCCGGTATAACGCGTGGATGGGTGACCACATCGCCATGCACACACAGGTGGTATAGGCTGCCGCGGGGCTGCATGGTGGGCAGTTCGTCAAATTCAATTGCTGTACTGTAATATTCTCCCAATGTCTATGCTGCTCACTTTCACCAACCCACAGTGACCAGCGTTCTAAATTATGGCCAAATCATTCCCATCACTAATTCGGCATGGGGAGGCATCCCGTCCAGCAGTGGATTAACAACGGGGTTGTGGACATGAACGTGAGGTTATCACATTGTAAATTCATCCGCGAACACAAGACACGTGGACACATTCTTTGTCAACAAAAAATAACCGCCGTGGAATTAAGCGCCTGGTGGTGACCTAGGGCGCTGCGTGAACATCCCCTTCTCGGGAGCGTGGATCGAGATGATTTCACTGAACCCGCAACTCAGGAAAACGCACACAACCTCCAAGCCGTGGAGCACAAAGCCACTCCTTAACAGCATAGTGTGAATTTTGCATAGCCCACACGTTGGCAATGACATTACTGTCACCGCACTGACATACGGCTACCCATCATCATTTACGTCCCTGCGTCACGGCAGCGGGCACTGAGATTATTGCGGGAACTTTGCTGCAAAGGACTTGGACCACACGTGACTGATATAATTTAAACGGGGCTTGCAATCGATACATATACAGTATATACGGATTTACGACCAAGTCAATATAAAGTCACCAAATCTCGCCAGATCGCGCAGGCTGAGCAGGGTTGAGCCTCGGTTGTTACTTGGATGGGTGACGCGCAGCTGATGGGCTTGCTAGATGTTGTAGGCATTGGGGCTGTGGGGTGGCCAGGGGATGGCACTGCTGAGCGTTGCCCCCGCGTACGCGTCAGGATCTCCCGTAGTCATTTGGATTCCTCCCAAAAATACCAAGCACTCGTCGACAGAATTGGTTAAACCGTGCCAATGCAGAAAACTCCCCCCCCCCAAAAAAAACGCCTTGGGATTCAGTGAATCGTTCCTGGGTAAAATAGTTGGTAGGAGCAGTATATTTATTACTCTTAATAAATTGAGTTTGTGTACAAAATTACAGCTTTTGATGCAAATGACAAAAGCAATATTTCAGTCGAGCCTCCATAAGAGGAAGGGGAAAGGCATGAACACAACAATAGTAAATAAATGCTGACGTAAATAAATATTGGAACACCTCTAGCCTAAAGAGTGAACTTCAGCGTTGAAAACAATGAGTAGCAAAGGCATATTGTTGGCATAAGCCAGGGACCTTGGGCTAACCAGATGCTGCGCCGTGAACAAAAAAGCTTCTGTAATTCATCACGCCTGACATCTTGTCTTCATAAGATCTGCCCCATGCACAATGGCCACAAAACAATGCCCCCTTTTGCTTCGGGATATGTCCACAAATTACATGGTTACTTCTGATTTGAATTAGATCGCAACGTGTTTAATTGCATAAACTGAAGACAAATCTAGCGCTGCATGTGAAAAACGCAGGCTATTATGGAATGCTTTACAGCCAATCATTTATCACCATCATCATCATCATACTGCACAGGTTTCCAAGGTTGTGCTGGATAGCTCGCCGACGTGTTTTCAAGAGGTACTGTCTATTCAGTTCATGAAGAAGCTCCCAACGTCAGCAGTGGAACGTCGGACACCATGCACGAAAAACACGTGGAACAACTCAAAAACACGTGAGAGACTGATCGTCATCATCATCATCGTTATCATCACCAACATCGTCATCATCGTCGTCATCATCGTTCTCATCATCGTCATCATCGTTATCATCATCATCGTCATCATCGTCGTCATCATCACCATCGTCACCATCGTTATCATAATATGCAGTCATATGTGCACTGTGTTCTGAACCTGTAGAATTGAATTCCGATTACTGGCCAGGGCTAACAAGGCCGCCACGGTGGTGAGATGTTAACTACCTCGCCTGGTACACAGGAGGTTTGATCCCGACCCTGACGCCTGTAATATTTTGAGTTTGCATGTCTCTCTCCCCGTGGTGCCGTGGATTTTTCTCCGGGTCCTCTCGTTTTTCCCTCCACATTTAAAATCAACATCATGCGTTTAGAGTTAACTACCTCGCCTGGTACACAGGAGGTTTGATCCCGACCCTGACGCCTGTAATATTTTGAGTTTGCATGTCTCTCTCCCCGTGGTGCCGTGGATTTTTCTCCGGGTCCTCTCGTTTTTCCCTCCACATTTAAAATCAACATCATGCGTTTAGAGTATTTGGCTGCTATTTCACGTGATACGCCACTTCGTTGAGCTATCATTTGTGATAGCCAGGTCGCTTTCGAAAAAAAAGCTACATGGCTCAGTGGCCCTTGCCTGGCGAAATAAAAATTGTTCACAGTTTAGTTTGATTGACAAGTGACATCTGAACCGGTCCTGACCTAACCGCACCATCGCCTTCACAAACCTGCGCCGACCACCAGCATGGTGAAATATGGTGAAATATGGTCAAAACAACCATGACGGCTGGTGGGTGGGGAGGGCTAATGGGTGGGGAGCCCATGGCCCAGCAGTAGATTGACAAGGGGCCGTGCAGAATTATTATTGTTTTGCACATAATATATAGAGAGAGATTTTTCCGCTCGCATAAAGGAAGCATGTTTGATTCACGTGCTGGCAGAAGATAATGGTCCTGTTGAAGACACTCGTCACAAACATTTCCCGAGGAGGGGGAAGCAATCTCATTTCCTCGTGCATTTCGAACATAGAATTCCCTTGGCTGTTGTGTCGTCAAGTGTCGTTCCTTTGTCATGTGGCGCCTGTTCGCCTTGGAAATCTTCACACGTCGGCAAGGGGGGTCGAAAGCAAAACATTACGGGGCGATTTAATTGCCGAAAACGAATCTAGTTGGTTTACTTACAATGAATCGCATTGCGGACGGCACGGTGATGAACCAACCCTGTACCTGAAGACTGAGTAAACCTTTTACAGATTTCAAATCATATAGACAACACGGATACAAGACCATCGGGTACGGCCTGATGAGACCGTCATGGAGAAGTGATGCTTGCGAGGAGCGCCTGAAGCGATAGCAGTATCACAAGGAGGTCAGGTAGCCATCCCCAACGCCTGGCTACCTTTGTCTTCCAAATGCTGATCATGATACACCACGCTTTGGTTCTTGTGTTTTGTTTTGTCCGGGTACACGCAATGCGAAAACATCTATAATGTCACGGGTAAAGGTCGACTTAGCTTTGCGAGTGACCAAAAGAAAAACACATTCTCCCATTCGAGGCATGATAAAGAGTTGGGCGAATAAAAACATATTTTCGGGATGTTTTTAGTCCACTGCTGGATGAAGGCATCTCAACACGGTGTTAGTTATGTGGGCTGTATGGCCATACTTCACCATGCTGGTCTATCTGGGTTGTTGAAAGGGGTGGCTGGAGGTGGGAGTGTTGAACCGGCTGTGAGCTGTGCTAGGAATTGGAACTCAGGTTGCCAGGTTCATTGTGGAGTGCGCTAACAACTGTGCTACTGTTCAACCCTCAATTTTTTTAAACTATTATTGTTCGTTGGTTCTTTCGGTAAAGTCACGTAGATAGAAAAAATCACAATAAAAGTGAGTGTACTGGCAGTCTATAATGTAGACTGTAGCCTGGTAGACTAGCCTGGTTGACTGTAGCCTGGTTTTTAAGCTGGTGAGTGTATTGGCAGTCTATAATGTAGATTTATTCTGGTTCTTTCAGTAATAAAAATAAAATAAAAACTAAAAATAAACGCAAAAACCACGACGTTTCAATCGCAATACAAGCGGTCGTCATCAGGAAAAGAGGGGTTAGCCTCCAAAGGCAAACTGTTTATAAAGCTTAAGAGATGGGCGTAGCCCAAATGTGTCACCAGCATGGGCGGGGCAGCTGATGTTAATGTAGGTAGAAAACAACGACATTGGCAGTGGGTCTCCACCAATCAAAGGGCCACCAGGCAATCATTACACCTCGCTCCACACACCCACACTGCTGACGGTAGAGGTTGACAAGAAAATACAAAAATCAAGTCATGACCCAAAGTGGTTGATGACATCTTTCCCATGATTGCTGAGTTTATAATCATCCTCTCGGTTGAAATTGTGTCTGTCTCTGTATATATGGATGGCTTCATGAACGAATCTTTGTTGATAGCCAATAGGCTTGCAAAGTACCATCGTCTTGGAGAAATCTAATTCGTATGAGCCAGCCGCATTAAAATAATGATCAGCCACGGCAGAAGTATTGGTCATACCGTGCTTCAAATCTGCCTTGTGCTCACGGACACGGTCCGAGACATGTCGTTTAGTTTCCCCAATGTAACTGCTGCCGCAGGTACAGCTTAGTTTTTAGACGCCGGGATATTGCATGTCAGGAATCTTGTCCTTCACAGATGGGATCAGATCACGAATTTTATGTACTGTGTTACATCGGACCTGGATTTTGTGTTTGTTCATGATTTTGGAAATATTTTTGGTTACCCCTGCTATGTTTGGCAAGGTGATGGATTTGATTGGATCCTCACATTTTTTTTTAATTTCTATCTATGTGACTTTACCGAAAGAACCAAAGAATATGAATTCCTGCAGTCACAAAAGCTTTAAGTCAAAATGTATTATTGGTATTGCGAATAAAAATGAGAAATCATCAATGAAACAGGCCAAACATCCCCATGCAGGACCCTCCAGTAAAAGAGTCTAAGACTCGGTGAAACCTGCCTGGGTAAACAAACAACAATAATTTGGTAGTAATTTAAATTACATCAGTTCCTTTTTCGATAATAATTGTGTTTCCTTCGCGATTGCATTAAAACAAATACAGCGTAAATTCATACTTTGTACACAATGCAATAAACATGATTATTCTGAGCAATGGTTGCTGTTGGCTAGAATGACTTCCAACCTCATTAAGAGTAAACATATAGTGCTTTAGCCTAATCTCCCTCTCTCCGTCCAGCATTTTGTAATTATTCAACAAGCACCACAGGCAGCTGGCATTAATCCAAAACGACGTTTAGGGGAACACAAATAGTTTTTACCTCAATTGCATAAGAAACCTTTCATTTTCTTAATTCGCCAATTGCAAAAAATATTCACCAAAGCTCTGCCACGTAACGCGATCTCTGTAAAATAACAAAGCGTCAAACGAAGAAGGCCACAGCCTCTGAGGGCCCTCGCGTGGACGCGCACACACGGCAACGATCCCAGAAGCTAAGCGGGTTTTTAAGCCTGGGTGACACTTGCCTGGGCGACCACAACACATAGCACGTGTTAAAGGATGTGGGGCGATGTGCTCGGCATAAGGAAGATCATTGTGTGTTTAGTTTGTTGTCCTTCCCCCTCGCACCTCCGATAAGCACGGTTGGTGACGTACGGTGCACGAAAGAAGTTCAACGTATGTATGTACATAAACAGCGATTGTTGTATGCTCCCACAGCTATACACCACGTCTCCACAAACCCGCGATGACGAGCGTTGTGAACCGCGGTCAAAACATCATCACAAACCGCATTGCAGTTGGGAGGCCCTCGTTCAGCAGCAGATCGATAAGGGGCTGTACGCACACGCGCACACACGCACACGCGCGAGGGCTCACCGCGACTGGCGGTCCATGCTGGCGACGCGGAGGCTCTCCCAGCGCGAGTTCAGCAGGTTCATCTGCTCGCGCACCTCGCTCTCCTCGTCCTCGCCCAGCTTGCCCTCGGCCAGCAGCTGGTTGCCCGCGTGCAGCACGTTACCCACGCTGCTCTGGTGCGACGTCAGCTCCAGCATGAAGCCCTGGGCACGCGCGGAGGGTGGGCAGGCGCCGAGGATTAATGTGCGGGCAGCGGAGGGCCCACAGCCATTCGTGTTACATTGATGCACCGCGCGTAAAGAAACCGCATCATCCGTAATTATTTTAAATGCAACATCACCTCCACTCAAGGGGGTATTTAATACATTGTACACTAAAATCAAATGCAAAGACAATGAAATAGTGTTGAAGTAAAGGCCGTGAGAAATGAGCGAGTCCTGCACGCCCTCCTAAACACACTGCCGCTCGTAACGTGCCGGATCTTCGCCGGCAAGGCATTCGAGATCCTTGGGGCGACACTTGAGAATGCCAGACCTTCCAGCGTCGAGCGCAAGGGCCGAGGCTGGGAGAGTACGCATACGTAATCGGTAAATAGGTGCAGTCCTGAAATTCCTCGCTTACGCCACTGTTGGCAGAAGGTGACGTCACTCGACGGGCCTCTAGAGAGCTGCTTCGAAGGTTATTTTGGCCTACTCTTCCACGCTGGTGAGACTTTTTTGCAATGGGCTGGAGCGCATTCGCACTCTGCCCCACCGCCGCGCGCGATCAGCCGATAGCCTAACTGTGGTGCTGTACCCATTCATACCGCTGGGTGCAGAGAGAGGCTGGGGGTATTTAAGAAACTCGTAGCAATGTTTCAACGGCCACAACCTCTGGATTGGAAGTCCAGTGTGCTAACCGTTGCACCACGGCAGCAGAACGTTGCAAATATAAATATATGTGCAAGATAAGAACAATAATTGCAATCTCTTTGTCAAATCACTGCTGGATGAATGCCTCCGTGTGTCGTGTGGGTCACAAGGGTTGTTGGGTTATACTTCGCCATGCTGGTCAGCGAGGACTCGTGAAGGGCTGACCAAGAACCGGATAAGATAATCACTTGCCACTGACGTTAGCCGTGACCGGGAATGGGACTTACGTCTCCGCCACAGCTCAACCCGCATATCACACACATGACCTATGTGCATGACTTACAAACATTACTCAAAATCATCCTCTCCAGCCATGTATAAGCCTCTCTCCATGTTAAACCTCAACAATAAGACCGTTCGGTCACAATGTCGAAATGTCCCTCTCCTCTCGGGGACATGAAGAGAAATCCCTGGTATTATTATGAATTCAAACCATTACATGCAGTAATTACACTGCATTACATAATACAATGTTAACTCATTAAACATGTAACATTGACGCATCCAACCACCGATACTTATAGAGTATTACGAAATGTACTTTAAATATACATTCATAACACAATACACGAAAGTAGATATATTACAGGACAGACATTTGATAGAAAATGCACACGTTTGTGATGTTTTTTTCAGGGCAGAACATAACGTGAGGGAAACGTGCACTCAGCACTAGACAAACATAACAAAATAAAATACTTCATAGTGCGCAATAAATATTTATATAAAACACATGAACAACTTCTAGACATAAAAAATGCATAGCGTGCAAAGTACCCAATTTATGCAGAAATACGTGTGAATAAAAATAACACTTTTACTGAAGGGGTAATTTAAACCTGCTACATATACCGAGAACGCAGCTCAAGCGAAACTATAACCATTTGCATACAATGTCCATTCTAATTTACAATCTTCCAAATTTAATCACATTGCTAATGTTTTGTTTAACAACTCTCACCAGGGGTGCCTTAATAATGTGGCTCCTCACCAATTTCTCACAATTAGAGAAATAAAACGAGGTGGGGGCGGGCGGGCGGGCTATGAATTGACACCACAAATCAGTGGCATTGGGGCGAGGAGGGGGCCAGGAACCACAGCGTTTGGTTTCAAAGCATCATCACCAGTCGGCATCGTTAGGTGCCCGATGCCAAACGACGCCAACTAGGCACATCGCGAAGGGGGCCTGCTTTCACGCCGTGGTGCCGGACTAACCGGGCCTTTGAAAAACACGAAGAGGCCACCTCCAGCCCTTTAACCTCGCACAACCCACTGGAACCAAAAGGGATTTGTTGAAATCATGCCGCTGAGAAAAGGGTACCGAAGTCTCCCGCTTTGCCACTGCGCAGGAGAGCGATCTGGAATGAGCCCCCACCACCATCCCCACCACCACCACCAAACCACCAACCACGCCGAAAACCTTAGAGGACAATGCCATTACTCTAAATTGTTGGGTAATGGAGGCCAGCAGGGTGCTGAGCAAAAACGGATGAACACCGGAGAGCAGGAGCCATGGGACACCGTCTTGATGGAATGGAGGAATAGAATAGGTGTGATTGCCGACTAAGTTGGGGGGGGGGGGGGGCGAGGGAGGGTGGAGGGGCGGTGACACCGGGGGACGGTCGACATGTTATGCCGACACGCTCGGCGCATCCCGCGCAGCGCGCACGCGGATGGGCGGCCGAGGCGTGTCGGAGCGGGGACGGGCGTCGCCAAATCGTTCCCTCGTTTTAACCACCGCTTGGCCGCGACAATTATGGTCGCGGCATCGTCGACGACACTGCCGTGGGATGCACGCCACACCACTCCCGGGTGTTGGTCGCGCTCTTTGGGGGTTACAGGCGTACGCCGTGCTGGTCTGACGATTCGGAACAAAAAGTAACCTGACGGAGTAGTCCGACGACAATTAAATTGCAGCATCAAAGTCAATGGGTAAAGGTGCAGCCGTGCAATTGCTTGCTCACGCCATTGCCGGCGGAAGGGCCTCCACTAGAGGCAGCTTTTACGAGCCCCTCTTGACTCAGCCTCGAATGGGTACCTGTGTAAACAGTGCGACGACGGAGACAAAGACGGCCGAGCGTGGTGCAGGCCACCCTCGTGTGCCGTGCCGGCCTAAACAGTCTGCTAAGGCTATGCGGGGATCTATTCATTTGCCTTTTTTGCAGCAGGATATACCCCAGTGACATTTAACATTGGGCGACATAGGCTGTGGGCAATGCCCGCTAGCAGAGATTATTGCCGCGTTTAGTCTGCCGCTGCTGCCGCATCCCACGTTAGTGGGGGGGGGGGGGGGCGGTCCAAGTCGAACCGCCAGTGGATAATCCGCTTTGCCATTCCAGGAACTCGGCATCAATCACAAGGCTCAATGGCGGTGCCAAAAACGGGGCCACTGTCTAAGTTGCTTCCAAATGCCGGTTAATGCGGCTTCACGCTTCAGGCGGCACTCGCACACAAAGTGAATGGCGCGTCGGGAAGAAGAGCGCTCGTGTAAGGCCGCCACAAACTTCACAATCGTTACCGCGCGGGGTTTTCACGGTTGCCCTGTACAACTCTCTGGCGTGCTTCCGGATCGCGCGCTCCTGAGGTGGTGCTGCTCACGAGCAACCTACGAACGGCCGGCACGGCACACAAGGAGCTCGGTGGCCAGCACCACGCTCGGCTGCCTTTGTCTCCCCCAGTGGCGATGTTCACACACCGCACTGGGTACTCATTTGAGGCTGAGTCGACCTCGGGGAGGCCCAGGACCGGTTAAAGATAATCCTCACTGGGGTTGGCCGTGAGCACGGATCGAATATAGGGTCGCTGGGTCCGTAGCGCTGCGCACTAACCGCTGCACTGCCGCTACCCCTACACGCACGCACAAAAACAAAGATAAAGATCGTCTATAGACCGCTGGGGTAAGTGCTGTTAACGAGCACCGATGCAGGCTGGCACGGAACGTATGAATGTATGTGTGTTTAACATATTTTGCACCGTATGTAGCCCGCGGTGGTAATCAGAGGTGTGGAGGAAGGAAAATAAACTAAACACAAAAAAACTGTTCAATAGAAATGAGTTTTCAATCTGGATGATTTAAAATTGCATAGCTCCAGTGGCTTCCTAATATCGGAAGAAAGAGCGTTCCAGACGACCACAGAAGCGCATTTGAAAGCGCGCGACGCGGTTAACCGTCTGTGTTCGATGGCCAGCCAAAAGCCGCTGCAAGGATGACTGGAATTCGCGTGATGGTTAACGCCCCTTGACGAGATCGCCAAGGTACACGCCACAACAGGTGCTCATTTGAGACCGAGTCGCACGCGCGCGCACGCACACACACACACCTCGTGCGCGTGGAACTGCTCCTTGACCTCCTCGACGTCGGCCGAGATGTCGGGCTGGCCCTGCAGGGTGTCCTCGGCGGACAGCAGCCAGGTGAGCACTTCCTCTAGGGCGCCCTGGTAACTCTCGAGGTCCACCTCGCCCTCCAGCTCCGTGATGGTGCTGGGCGTCTCGGGCCGTGAGCTCGTGTTCTCCTCCTCCTCCGACGTCACCATCTGCACCTCGCGGCGGCGCGGCGAGCAAAGCGGCGAGAGGGTTAAGGTGGGGAAATGACGACGGCGGTGAGAGAGGGAGGGGGTGGGGGTTGGTAGGGAGGGAGGGGGGGAATCAACTCGAAAAAAACAAAACAGCGAAAAGTGAGAATGCATAGGTGCGATCGCGGCTGTGCCGTACAGCTCTCCGGCGTGTTGCCAGATTGTGCCAGCGCGTTTAATTGACACGATGTCCAACGTTTCGCTCCGCATGGTGGGGGGGGGGGAGCTTCTTCATAAACTGAATTCATGTTCTGTCAGGAACCGAATTCAATCATCTCCCCTTCATGGCCCATCGGTATCGTGCCAGGACGCACAACAATATTTGCGGCAGCATCGACGTCTCAAGCGCATCTCGAGCAGGCCAGCTCAATAACATCTCCGCCGAATCCCGGCCTCACCCTGAGCATCGGCTCCTTGGAGCACGCCACGTATAGGGCCTCTCTCGGACTGCCATCAAAACCTTGACAATGTCAGGCAAGGTAACCGTCATTTGCCATCATTTAACCGCATGGCTCGGTAAAAAAAAAAAAATGACCGAAGAAGTTTAAATGAAAATGGCAAATTGAGAATGTGTTCCAAATTTTGGAATGGCAAAACATGAATGATGAAGTTCAAGAAGAAGATAGTCCTGATGTTTTTTTTTTTTGTCAGGGTTTTACATTTGAATTACATCAGCAGTCTTCGTGTCTTTGTTGTGGTTTCACTGAAGGGAGAGTACCATGGAGGTGATGAGATCTTTGGACTGGACGAGCAACTTAATCCCCTACACAAAATCACGCGGGCTGCAAACCTGGCTTCGAGTCGTGATTCGGAGTCTGCTGAACAGCAAGCAGCGTTTACAGCCAGGTGTAAAAGTCTCTTTAAAAATCAGTGTTTGGCAGGACATCCTGAATTTTACAAGAGACCACTCGCCACTGCAGCAGTCGGTGTGTGCGACACTTAATTAACTGCAGCCCACATCAACGCGATGTAGAAAATTCCTCACAGATTCAATTACGGTAATACAATTTTACAAAGAACAACAAATTTGTTTTTAATATGTGCTTGAGTAGGCAAAACATTACATTGTTGCAATGCTTAGTGTCGGTGTTGTCTTGTTAATTTTAAGTGCTACTCAGGGATGAATGGTTCACAATGGCCAAACAAATAAGGTCACGGTGGTTTGATCATGGGTTCAAGTGAGCAGAAAGCCTTTAGAGCTTAAGCCTCTTATTCTTTTGGACTTCCAGAGAGACCTCAACCGTTCTGATTCCTTTTTTCCCATTCTCTGTGCTATCCAAAGACCCCTGAGCGCAGAGCCTGATCGTTAAACTCCCGGGCTGAAGCAAATTCTTTTCATTGAGGGAATTGGATTGTGCTAAGTCAAAGACCAAGCCTTGCCCACTGCACACCAAGTGAATGAGCAATTCCTGACTGCGGAATACCAGAACGCTACGCGAGAATATTTAGTGTACGATACACGGCGCTTATGTGCCAATATGCCATCCACCAGTTATCTTCCGAGCCAGACACTGACCAACACAGATCACGTATATCGTGACTCTAAGCCGACAATTTTATTTTGCATTTGAAGACAAGAGTTCCGGTGAACGTGTACCTTAAAAGGGAAGTTACATATACAAATTAGTGGCATGGAAAACAAGCCCAAGTATATGTTTTGTTTTCCTGATGAATGCAGTTCCTGGTAAGCAGCAAGTGTTGAAAGAATACATCTCATGGATAACTTGAGGCCACGTCATTGGGACGACTTACGAGGGATGAGATCACATGAATTACGGAGTGGAGACAAAAAGAAAGGAAAATAAGCAGAGGATGGACAGCGGAAGACAAGGCAGCAGAGAGATAAAAAGCAAAGCGTTTCGAGGCCACTATTGGACACGAGCAACTAAATAAAGGAAGATATATAGAGTCAAAATTCGTGGAGACCCTTTGCCCAGGAGTGGAAAGTTACAGGCTGACAACAAAAACAACAACTCGGCATGTATGCCTCCATATACCTGCACTGAGCTCACTGGTTTAACTTATTTACTTGCTCCTAAAGTTAGAAACGTATCACATGCAAGAATCGCTCTGTTTACTGTCTGGGCCACAGAGCTTCCTCTTACCAAGCACCATATGATTGGAACTCGTCAAATTTAAATATCAAACCGATTACAATATTAAACATGTCTATTTTTCCGCAGTACCTCTTGCGCTTAGTTTTAAACTTTGTTTTACACCCTTTATAAAACGGCGCAGAACGTTTTGTGCGTAGGTGCGGTGGTTAGAAAATTGCACCACAAATCTGGGGAATGGTTGTGCAGAGGTGAGCGCATTGCGGTACGAACCCGGTGTCCCGAGTTAGATTCCTGGTCACGTCCAACACCAGTAATGATTATCTGAACCGGTCCTGGGCCTCCCCAAGGTCGACTCAGCCTAAAATGAGTACCTGGTTTCAGTGTGTAAACATAGGCAATGGGGAGACAAAGGCAGCCGAGCGTGGTGCTGGTCACCCACTCAATCTTGTGCCGTGCCGGTCTTAATAGGTGCTCGCTAACAGGACTTGCCCCAACAGTCTGTAAAGGCTACATGGGGGATCTTTGTCTTTGTATCTTGGTCGATAAAATTGCACCACAAAGCTGACAATCCTGGAATTGATTCCAGGCAACGGATAATATCGGTGGCAAGCAATATCTGAACTGGTTCTGGGTCACCCACTTCAGCAACCCACACTGACCAGCATGGTGAAGTATGGCCAAATAACTCCCGTGAACCGACACTGCATGGGGAGGCCATTACCCAGCAGTGCATTGACAAAGATCCGTGATGTATCATTATTATTTGTATCATGTTTTAAGTTTGTTTAGTTTAAATGGTTTATTTCAATATCTTGTATTCGCATGTAAACTTATCATTTACTGTGGTGTTGCAATGTTAATTATATAAACTATGGATTAAACTATGTTTATTTTCTTGGTTCTTTCGGTAATGTCACGTAGAAGGGAAACAATAAAATAATAATATAAAACAATAAAATTATCACGACGTTTCGACTGCAACACAAGCAATCATCATCAGGTGTGAAAACCACAGCAAGAAAATTTGAAAAAAGTGGCGGGTTTTTTTTTACATTAGCACCACGGAGAGCGATTTGGCAGTTATTCAGATGGACGAGTCCATCTATTTTCGGAAAAGAGGGGGGAGACGAAAATAATGGATGCTGTTGTTTCCCTTCTACGTGACTTTACCGAAAGAACCAAGAATATGAATCCCTGCAGTCATGAAAGCTTTAAATCAAAATTTATGTTTATTTTACCAGGTAAGGGCCACGAAGCAATATCGCTGTTTTTCAGAATTGACCTCGCCACAAAAGAAAGCTCAACAAAGTGGCTCATCACGTGGAAATGTATAGCAGCCAAATACTCTCAAAGGCAAGATTCTACATGTGGAGAGAATAACCGGAGCACCCGGAGAAAAAAATGCGTGAGCACGCGGAGAGAGACACGCATACTCCAAATATACAGCAGGCATCAGGGTTGGGATCAAACCCACGACCTCCTGCAAACCAGGAGAAGTAGTTAACATCTCAACAACGTGGAATCCTATATCTATGTTGGTACATGTACAGTATATGTCTGTACCAACCTGGTAACTTTTACGTGGAACTCATAAATCACTGCCATAAACCGCAACAGAACATTAACAGGCCGATGTGAACATCTACTTCACGGATGACAAATTAAAAATGAGCCACGGTGCATTTGTGGCCATATCGTAAACCACAGTGGTCTGCACTTCTGCTTTAAACGGAGGAGTCGCCAAATGACTCAAACTCTCTCCAGGAGCCCTCCTGTGTCTAGCTGACCTCAACATCGGCATTTAGCTCCTGAACGTATCGCCTTCATACGCAGGAATAGAACTGAAATCTTCTTAGGAGACCCCCTTTGAAATTAGCTGTGCATCTGTAAGACTTATTCCTGTGATATTGTTGTGAGCACTGCAGCATTGGTCATCGGCAAACCAATTACATTTGGCCAAATAATAGTGTGGAATTTCACCTGAGTGGAAGCAATGGTAGAAACTCTACATCCTTGTGCAAGGAAGTTAATCTCTTCACACAACAACCTAAACTGGTGGTACTCAATTTATGAAGCGTGGAGAATTGAATCATTTGGCGGGACCCCGGGGTCCCGCAAAAATCAGGTCAATAATTATTATTTTTCAGTCCGCCCACTCGTGATCCCGACAGCAACGCGCCGCCCGCCCAGACTTGCGCCAACAAGCGCCAGCAGGCGGCGATCAACACGATGGGCGCCACCCCACCGGCCAAACGCAAGCCCCGGGGGGCGTCCGCCGCAGTCGCGCGCGGCGACGACGCCCTCCGGTCAGCCGTCGATCCTCAGCTTCTTTGCCAAGGCGAGCCCGCCCCCGCAGTGAATTTAACGTGTTTATGTAATTTTTCAACTTTTTACGAAACTTAGTGCCCCGAGTAGCTCTCGACGAGGCCAATCGATTGACCACTAGTTGTGTTGTAGGTAAGGCAAGACTCGTGTCGCTACGCGGTTTTTCCCACCCCGGGGCAGTGATGGGACCCCGGGGTCCCGCCAATTGCTTCAATTGTTGGGCTGAGTCAACTCGCGACTGGAATTTGAATCCACAAATTTTCGATGGCGACTCAAGTGCTCGTCACTGTGCCATGTCGCCAAATTCGCCTCCCTCTGCGGTCAAAATAACAAAAAAATTTAAAAGCGAAAGTGTGGGGTTTGCTTTCACACTCGTTTCGCTCATTATTATCCAGCAGCCAGTAGTGGAAAGATCACGGCAGGAATGCCCTCCACAGTGAAAATCACGTGGCAAAACAGAGCAACACAATCCCAAGCTTATTTGCGAAACAATTATCGCAGCAGGTAGCCATATGAATATAAGCTGGTGTTATGTACTTGTGAAGAACTCAAACTCAAAAGTTCTGCCAAGCAGCAGGG